GGCAGAAGTTTGGGGGGGGTATGGCGGAGGAAGGGGCGCGAGAGAAGGATGAACGCGCGCGGCGACGCGCGCGAGCCGAGCGCAGACGGGAGAAAAAGCGAGCCGAGGCGTCGGATATGATGCGGGCGATGCGAGAGGAGATCGAGCGAGAGGAGAGTGTGCGGCGGTTGATGGTGCGGGTGGATTCTGGGGAAGAGACGGAGCCGACGGATATCGCGCGCGCGGCGGCGGCGGCGTTCGAGCGGTTGGAACGGCGATACGGAAAGCTCTCGAGCTTGTTCGCCGTGCTGTCGTGGATGAACGATTTCGTGGACGACGAGGTGGACGCTGCGGTGGGGTCCGAGGAGGAGGCGCGCGCGCGAGGTGAAGAGGGTGCGGTCGCTCGAGACGGCTCGCGAGAGCCGAAGAGACGCGCGAGCGACGACGTCCCGAGCGGTCTTCTGGGATCGATCTCCAACGCCTTGCGAGAGTGGTTCTCCATAGATATCACCGAACTCGAGGATGGACGCAAAGAGGTCGTCGTGAACGCCAGCGCGGAGTTTCTCGTGCTCTTCGTCGTGTTGGTCGTCGCGAGCTCCAAATTTGGCGGTGACCTCGTCGCCGCCGTGCTCACGCCCGATCCCTTGCTCCGCTAGACGCCGTCGTGGACCACGCGATGGCATGTACAAAAATCTACCAAGTATTCACCAAAAAACGTACGGCTCGACCCTCGATCGACCTACGCGCGATGATCGCGTCGTCTCTCGTCTCGTCCCGCTCGCCCCTCGGGCTTCACTTCCGGACGCGCATCCCTCGGCGCGTCGCGACGCTCGATGTCAAAGCGCTCGGCCGACGCGTCACTGAACGCGCGCGATCGTCTCGGCGACGCCTCGGCGTCCGCGCGAGTCCTAGATTCGAAGAGAATGTCGAGCGAGAGGCAAAACGATGACGCGTCCTCGAGGACGCCGACGAGTGCGATCCTCTTTCCCGCCGTGCGGTTCGCCGCGTGCGCGCTCGGGACGATCGGTTCGCTCACCGTGTACGGGGTGCTGCAGGAGCGCGTGATGACGCTGCCGTACGCGAGAGACGGTGTCTCGAACGAGGACGCGTCCGCGACGTGGCGGAGGGTGTTGCGAGAGAGCACGCGGTTCGGCGCCTTGGAGTGGACGCGAGGGGAGGGTGCGAACGTCGGCGAGGGCGAAGGAGACGTGTTCACCACGACCATGTTCTTGGTGTTCATGAATCGGTGGATGTCGATGATCGTGGCGGGGACGCTGGCGGCGGCGCTCGGGTGGGGCGGGCGGAATCGAGCGAGCTCGAAAGATTATGCCACGGTATCCGTGAGTAATCTCTTGTCCACGCTGTGCCAGTACGAAGTATTGAAGTATCTCTCGTTTAGCGTGAGCACGCTGGCGAAGACGATGAAGGTGGTGCCGGTGATGATTTGGGGATACTTTTTAGACGGGAGGAAATTTATTTTGCGCGAGTACGTTGAGGCGTTTGTCGTTACCTTGGGATGCTTCCTCTTCGTCGTCAATCGCGGGTGGGAGAGCAAGGTGGAAAGGGAGTTTGAGATGCAGAGCGACCTCGGCGTCGAGGCGGCGCGTCAGTGGTCGATGAAAGTAGGTATATTCATCTTGCTCATGTATTTCGTTTGTGACGGCTTTACGTCGAGTTATCAGCAGACGATGTATCGACGCGATCGCGTCACAGTCACGGCGCAGGTTTTCTTCACCTCACTCTTTACGACCATGTTCAGCTTTGTGTGGATCGTATGCACGAACCAATTGACAGTGGCTCTGCGATTCGTGTACGAGCATTCGGCGATTTCCCGAGACATCTTCATCCTGAGCGTCGCCTCAACCGTGGCTCAGTTTAGCATCGCGTACACCATCAAGGCCTACTCCGCCGTCGTCCTCGCGTCACTCATGACCGCGCGACAAGTTATCAGCGTCCTCCTGAGCTGTTACCTCTTCGGCGAGCCGCTCACATTAACGCAATGGACCGCCGTCGCGCTCATCGTTTTGCCCTTCATCGGCAAGCGCGTCGCTCCGAGCGACGTTGTCCACTCCATCGACCGATCGTCCTCGCCATTCCAGCGCTCGCCCGATCGCAAAGTGTCCGATGTAGACCACCTCTTAGACGTCTAGCGAACCGCGCTCTGTAGTTTAGCACCAACATTCATAGGGTATCGCCGAGTCGTTTGACGCGACGTTCGCGTTTGAACAATCCGCTTTTCAGCTGTCGCTCCCCACACCACTCCACCGCTCGCGTTCACCTCGCGCGGCAGATGGCTGTCGACGCGTGGTGTCTCGCTCGATCACTCGCCGCGAACGATCCCTCGACGAGCGCATTGAGCGCGAAGGACGTCGACGAGGCGTTCGCGACGCTCCGTCGTTCGAATTGCTCCGACGTTCTCGAACGCGCGTTTCTCAGCGCCTTCGCCTCGGGCGTCGGCAAGGACGCGCTCGAGGCGTGGTGCAAGTCGTGTGAGGTGCCGGCGACGCTCGTACGCGCGCTGAACGACGGTGTGAGCGACGAGAGGTTGGACGCGTGGACGCGCGAGCGCGCGGCGCCGGCGACGCTGAAATTCGCCGAGATCGTCGAGAGCGAACGATGCCGCGCGCGGGCGTTCTCTTCGCGCGCGAGGAGTGAAAATGAGACGTCTGCGAGCGTGGAAGCGTTCGTGCGGGTGTTCGATGCGGAGGTGGGGGCGATGGTGTGCGCGCGCGGACCTCCGCGGCTGTCGGCGATTTTAAGCGCGTGGTATCGCGTTCAGGCGAAAGAGTACGATCGAGCGGTGCGTCGACGGTGGGGAGAGACGAGCGATGACGAGGAGAATGATTTGATGGAGACGAATATGTTGGAGCGTCAGGGCACGATCTCTATGGACATCGCGGGATGCGCGGAGGTGATGGGACTACTGTGGAGCGCCGCAACAGCGGAGATGCGCACGGCGCTCGCGAAATGTCACGAATCACTCGGACGCGTCGCGGAGAACGCAGCGGCGCGTGCGCTCGGAGGGTGCGTGCAGCAACACGTCGTCCGACGGTGTGAGGGCGCGTTCGATGCGCCGAAACTCAGGGCGACCTTGCGGTGGGTTCGCGCCGTGCCACTCGAGTTTTTCAAGACGGCGCTGAGCCTGAGTGCGAACGACGGCGCGGCGATCGATTCGTGGCGCGGTAGGCTCGAGTACGCTGTGTACGAACATCTCGGCGCGCTTCGTATTCACGAACTCTTCGACATCATCGTCGAGTACCCTGATTCTTTGCCGGCAATTACGGATTTGCGCACATGTCTGCAGAACACGATGCTGCACTCGGTGCTCGTGGACTCCTTTGTCGACGCGACGCGCTCGCGTCTACTCCATGCGGGGGCTTCAACTGTGGATATCGTACAGCAGTACATAGGGACGATCAAAACCCTGCTCGAACTCGACCCCTCGGGCGTCGTTCTTGAGCTCGTGAGCGGACCGATCAAGGAATATTTGCGTGAGCGCAAGGACACAATTCGCTGCGTAGTCACCATGTTAACCGACGACGGTGGCGGCGGCGAGGGCGACGGCGAAGGCGCGCTGTACGCAGAGCTCGGGCGCTTAGCGCGAGGCGAGAGTATGGAATTCGCCGAATCGAGCGTGCCTGCGCCGAATCCGAGCGTCGGCTTGATGGACGCGGACAACTTGGATCGCATGGATAGCATCACCGCCGAGATGGTTGCCATCGCCGCGACGATAACTGAGGACGCGCACGAGGACGACATTGTCCAGACGCAGCAGGTCTTGTCGGGATGGGATGCGTGGGAGCCCGAACCGGTGGAAACAGAGGCTGCGGCGAGTCGTGGGCGACGAAGGAAGGGCGGAGACATCATCGGTCTCTTGGTGGGCATTTACGGCTCAAAGGAACTCTTTATCAACGAATATCGCACTATGCTTGCGGAGAAGCTCTTAGCCAAGACGACGTACGATACCGATCGTGAGATGCACGCGCTGGAGTTGTTGAAGCTCCGATTCGGGGAGGGAAGTCTGCACAACTGCGAGGTGATGTTGAAGGATTTCGCGGATAGCAAGCGTACCAACGCAAACATCAAGGTGCAGCCAACGACTGGAACGCCGTCGGCGAAGGATCGACGCGCGAACGACATACTGATGCACACTCCGGTTGAAGCGACGATCGTTTCATCCATGTTCTGGCCCGCGTTCTCGACCGACGTGACGGACTTTAAGCTTCCGCAAGAGATTCAGGAACAGATGGATCTGTACGCAAAGCGATATCATCAAATCAAGGCGCCTCGAAAGATGGAATGGAGACCGGCACTGGGAATAGTGGTCATGGACGTCACGCACAACGATCGCACGTTTGAGGTGAGCGTCAATCCGCTGCAGGCGACGATTCTTCACCACTTTCAGCGCGCGGAAAGTTGGCGCGCGAGCGATTTGGCCCACGAAGTTGGCGTGAGCGTAGACGCTCTGAGAAGGCGAATAGCCGTGTGGATAAATCACGGCGTGCTTATCGAGCGAAATGACGGACAAGGTGTCGTGTACGCGCTCACCGAACTAACGGACGAGGTTGACGCGATGGACGGCGTGCATAACGACGACGAGCACATCAGTGGTGTCGTCACGGCGGAAGAAAGCGCGGCGGCGGGTATGATGGTGTACGAACAATACGTCATGGGGATGCTCACTAACTTCCCAAGTCTCTCGCTGGATCGTATCCACAACATGCTGAAAATGTTCGTCGTCGACCCGGTGTACGATAAGTCCATCGAGGATCTGGAGCAGTTTTTGCTCGGACTCGTCGCTCAGGACAAGCTCAGCGCGGATGGTACATCCTTCTCGAAAAAATAGTCAACAAAGCTCCCAGTCGGTCGCGTTCTCCGCTCGTACTTAGCCCGTGTGATGAGAGTGTCACTGAATAGATTACAACAAAGGTCGACAGCGTGACCTTACGTATTCGTGTCTCGTTGATATATTTTATTGCGCGTATTAGTTCTTGTCGAGATACGGAATCCCCTTGAGTTCCTTCACCTTTTGGCGCTGCTCGTCCGTGAGGTTCTCCTTGATCTGTCTCCCGATGGACGTTTGCTCGAGCGCCAAATCCAAGCTCCACTCACTCGGAGACGGCTTCTCGTTCACGCTCTTCGGGAACCGATCGAGCATGACCTTGTACAGCAACTCGCCATCCATGATGATCGGGAAAAAGTGTGGCTGTCCATCGCTCTTCGTCTGCGTCTCCCTGAAGTACACGAGACATGGAAATCCGGGCCACCAGAACTCCCAGTTCGTGATACTGTCGTACGCCCAGCGGTTCTCACCCCCGCCTTGGAGCTTATTATCGCCGCTCGTCGCCACGTCGACGTTCGCCGCCGTCTCGTCGCTCGCCCCGGGCTCGATGAACACCACCTCAATCGCCTCTCGGGTGAATCGAAAGCGCACGCGCGACGCTTGGAACGACAAAAACCCACCCAAGACGCCGTGAATCACAGACTGCGTCCACAGGTGCAACGCCGGTCCCGTGAGCGCCGCCACGGCGAGCAGAATTCCCCCGACGCGGTAATCCCCAGGGACCACCACCACGTCATCGTCCACGCTCGACGCCCGCGGCGTCACCGTGGACGTCCGCGTCGACGCCACCGCCGCACCCGCGCGCGTGGGCGCGGACGGGACGAACGTGCGCGCGCGCGACGTCTCCCACGCCCGCCCGCGCGAACGCGCCGCGCCGCGCGCGGGGCGTTCGCCCGCTCGCGCGCGCGCGGGCGCGACCGAGATCGCGCGCGCGATCGCCCGCGTCGCCATCGCCCGTCCGTTCGTCGTCGCCGTCGCGCGGTGCGGGACGATCGCGCGCGGATCGTCATCGCGCGTCGTCGTCGATGGCGTATCCACACCCGCGTGTGCGAGCACCACGAACGCGCTCGACCGCCGCGCCGCGCCCCGCACGCCCACGCGCGATGTCGCGCGGGCGCGTCATGGCCCGACTCGCCCTCGACGCGATCGACGCCAACGTCGGCGCGCGCGCGGGCGCGGCGTCGGCGTCGGAGAAGGATGGGGATGGTGCGAATTTGAATTCAAAACGACGCCAGGCGAACGATTCGAACGTGTCGTCGACGAAGCGGACGAAGGGCGAGGCGGACGCGAGCGACGGAGCGGCGTCGAGGGAGAACGCGCGTGATGCAGCGTCGCGCGCGCGGGCGTCGGCGTCGGCGTCGGAGGGAGGGCGAGCGGGGACGATGACGGATGGACGGGCGCTTCCGATGAAATTCAGACGGGCGCTCGACGCGTGCGAGTCGACGTTGTTCGTCGCGCGATTTATGCGCGCGAGAGGGATCCTGGCGAACGCAGATGCGGTGTGTGCGAACGTTGAGCGGGCGACTGGGTCTAGGTGCACGCTTGAGACGCTGCGGTTGGTTGCGGCGTTGAGCGGCGGCGGCGTGCGGTTGCGAGCGAGAGGGTCGAGGACGGACGCGAGGCGGGTGCGCGTGGAGGTGGATTTCGGCGACGGTGATGAAGCGAATGGTGATGTGACGGGGCTAGCGGCGATGAAAGCGCGCGTCGAAGAGATTCGCGTTCGGATGATCGAGACGGTGGCAAAAGTGCACGGTTCGGACGCGAGCGGAGCGACGATGGAGACGTGGCGAGACGATTTCGATCTCGAGAGCGTCGAACTTCCGGAGTTGGCGGAGATCGAGCTCGAGGATGAGGAAGAGCAACGCAGAGTGGAGCCGAGACTTTTGTCGTCGTCGAGCGCACCCATCTTGGGTGAGTCAAAGGAGCGCGTGAGTGAGGGCGAGCTCATTCGAACGATGTCGGATTTGGGTCCTGAGTGTAAGGGACTTTCTAAGAGCGCGATCCAGGCCGTACTCGAGCGTCAGGCCGTGGTGGACGCGTACAACTCCCCAGTCGCCGTCGCCGATCGCGAGCGCCGCAGATTGTACGGTCGACTGCCGCAAGTCTTTGATGCGGTGCGTTCAACGTTCGCCGCCGGGAAGCGCCGTGTCATGGAGCTTAATCTCCTCCTCGACGAGCTTGCTCGCACGAACGCGCGGGCACCGGTGTCGAACGATGAGTTGATCGATTCTATACGCATTCTCACGCGAACGTGCCCAGAATGGTGCGCCATCGCGCCATCACGAAGTGGCGACGAGGAACTCTTCCGCATCGTCAATCGAGACCCCGGAGTGGCGCGAGACGCCCGCGCGCGCGTCTCCGCGCTCTGCCGAGACGCCGCAAAGTAACGCGAGCATATATGTACATTTTAATTCGACGCTGATTATTCCACGAACTCCATCGTGTCCCTTCAAAAGCTTCGTTGCTCGACCCCGCTCTCGAGCGACGCTTCGTCATACCCTAAGGCTGTGGCCCACCCGCTCAGATCTTCACACGCCCGCGCCCATCGTCGAGCGCTCGCGTCGCGATTCGTCGCCGTCGACGACACCGCCCGTGAACGAACTCTGACCAAGCGTCAACGCGCTAGAACGGGCGTGATCATCGCGTAAAGCGGTCGAAATGGACGCGTTGCGGCTGATTCGAGATCACGTCGTAAACGGACACATCTCCGCGTGCGTGCTCGATCGCAGCGAACGTGAACGGGCTCGAACGACGCGTATTCATATGTAACGTGTTGTGACTGAGCGACTGACGAGATTTAACCGCGCGAAGATCGACGCACGACGCGAATGAGATCCATCTCAGGGAAGCAGACGTCCCGCTGAGGCGAAGCGCGGAGACAAATTACCGATCCAAGGTCGGGAATAAGCTGTTAAAGGTCGAGCAGATATGGTACTTCATCAAGCACCATGTGCAGAACCCGTCGATGGCGCACACGGCGTATATGAAGGCGGCGATCGCGGATGGGTTCGCGACGCTGTCCATGCTTGACAGGAACGATTTGATCGACTATCTCACGGGGAAGAAAGCGACGAGCGAGCGGATAGACGTCACGGCGGTGCTCGTGGACGATGAGGCGGGTATAGACGCTGGGAAGCGGGCGAGGGAGGACGAGGATGAGGACGGGGTCCCGCGCGAGCGCGTGTTGAGAGATAGGAACTCTGTCTTGCGAGCGCCAAAGGACATGACGAGCGTCTTGGCCTTCTTCAAGGCGCCGGAGGAAGAGATGGAGCGCCTGCAGGAAGAGAAACAGCAGGCGGAAGACTTAGCAAAAGGGGTGAAAAATCAGAGGTACCGCGACGTGAAGGAGCAGGTGTTTTGGAGAGAGCACGTCGGGAGCGATTTTGATTTCATGAACTTGGACACGAACGCCTCCTTCTTGAGCGGTCCTAATCCGGGCGTGGCGAACGGGATCGACGTCCCATCGGAGCGACGTACGGCGCCTGCGGCGCAACCATCCGCACCGAGCGGTCCTTCCTCGGTATCGGCGCGCAAGCCGAGCGCGATGCCAGCCAAGGCGCCTGTGAAGAAGAAGACGTCTGGCATCCCGGGCGGCATCCCGATCATCATCGTGCCGGCTGGGTTCAACCAAAAGGTCGTGTTAAACATGTTCAACGCCAAGGAATTCTTACAAAACGGAAAATTCACCCCCTGGGACGTCGTGCAAAAGTCCGGAGCGAAGAAATCGAGCTCGGTGTACATCTCGCGCACGTACAAGCGCGACGGATCCAAGATCAAGTACGAGGTCACCGAAAAGGCCCCGCACAAGCGATCGGAAGACTGGGCGCGAGTCGCAGCCTGCTTCGTTCTCGGAGCCAAGTGGCAATTCAAAGACTGGCCCTTCCGCGGCGTCGAGGACGGTGATCTCGTCGAGACATTTTCGAAGATTCGTGGCTTTCACGCCCGATTCGACGGCGACCCGGAGATCGACGTCGTCAAGACCTGGAACGTCAAAACCATCACCGTGAGTCGAACCCAGCGTCACGGCGACCGAGCCGCTTTCGAGTTCTTCTGGGACGAGCTCGACAAGCACCTAGCCCTTCGCTCGAGCGCGCTCAAGTATTAGAAAGTACGTGTAACGACCACGCGGCGTCTCGCCTCAACCGCACTCCCGGGTTTTTCCACGAAAAACGATGACGTCGCTCTCGCCCCACGACGTCGCCGCCGCACACGTCGACGGCGACGTCGCCACGCGGTGCATCGAGGCACCGTTCGGCGCGTCGTATTTATTCCAACCGAAGAACCGTCGCTTCACAGCGCGCGGGACCTCAGCGAGCGAGCGTTGAAGCGATCGCATCGAGCGCGGCGGCGGGACCAGAGAGTGGCGTTCGTCGACGTTTGCGTCGTGCTCGACGCGCTTGTGGGCGCTCGAGGGAGTTGAAGGACGCGCGAGGGCTGTTCGAGGACTCAACTGAAGCCGATCGTTGACGCGCGCGCGGCGTTGGGGCGAAACGGGGCGTGTAGCGGGTGTGAGGGCGTCGAGGGATCGATCGAAAAGCGAGAAAGCAGAGGCTGTGCGCGAAGATGGCGACGCGCCCGGGGGTGTGGTACGATTTCCCGTGGGCGAACGTCGGCGCTTTGAAGTACGCGGTGTTCGCGCCGTTTGTACTTGCCGTCGCGTTGGGGAAAGATGACGCGGATTCGTTCTGTTGGCACTTGTTGGCAATCGCGGCGGCGCGATACGTAAACGCGCAGCTTTGGATAAGCCTCTCGAGAGTACACGCGTGGACGAGGAACACGCGGATACAGGCGAAGGGAATAGACTTCAAGCAGGTCGATCGCGAAGACCACTGGGATGATTACATATTGCTTCAAACTCTGGTCATCGCGGCGGTACACTGGATGCCGGGTTTGGGGTTCAAGGATTTTCCGCTCTACTCTGGTAAGTCATTCGCGCAGCTCGCGCTCTTGCACGCGGGGCCGACGGAGTTCATCTATTACTGGCTCCATCGCGCGCTCCATCACCACAAGCTGTACAGCGCTTACCACTCGCATCATCATGCGAGTTTCGTTACGGAGCCCATCACTGGTAGCGTTCACCCGTTCATGGAACACTTGATGTACACGGCGAACTTTGCGATTCCGCTGCTCGGCACGTGGGCGCTCGGCGGCGGCGACATCGCAATGTTCTACACGTATCTGATCGGCTTCGATATCCTGAACGCTATCGGGCACTGCAACTTTGAGTTTGTCCCGAGATGGTTCATGCGCTTGCCGGGGATGAAGTACCTCATCTACACCCCAAGCTACCACTCGCTGCATCACTCCCGCGTGCATACCAACTTTTGCCTCTTCATGCCGCTGTACGACTACGTCTACGGCACGGCTGACGTTACAAGCGACGAGCTGTATGAGAAGGCTATCACGGGGAACGCGGTACCAGTCAAAGCGCCGGAGGTGGTGTTCATGGCGCACGGAACCGAGTTATTGAGCGTGTTTCACCTACCCTTCGTTCTTCGAAGCTTCTCATCCCGACCGTTCGTGTCGGAGTGGTGGCTGAAGCCGTTTTGGCCGCTTTGTGTTCCGTTCGTCCTGTTATTACGCGTTTTCGGCAAGTCATTCGTTGCTGATCGACACAGGCTGAAGACACTGAACTGCGAGACGTGGGTGACGCCGGCGTGGGGGTTTCAATTCTTCATGAAGAGTGAGTTCAATCACATCAACAAGAAGATAGAGGAAGCGATTTTGGATGCCGACAAATCGGGCGTTCAAGTCGTGGGTTTGGGGGCGCTGAATAAGAATGAGGCGCTGAACGGTGGCGGTGCGCTATTCGTAAACAAGCACGGGAAGTCCCTGAAGACCAGGGTCGTGCACGGGAACACCCTCACTGCGGCGGCAATTTTGCAGAAGATTCCGAACGACTGCAAGGAAATTTTCCTCACCGGGGCGACTTCCAAGCTCGGGCGAGCCATTGCGCTTTACTGCGCGGAGCGAGGGGTGCGGGTGGTGATGTACACGACGAGCGAAGAAAGATTCGAGATGATTCGCGCAGAAGCGCCCAAGAAGGATCAGCACCTCTTTGTTCAGTCGACGAGCCTGACTGACGGCGCGAACATCAAGGACTGGGTCATCGGCAAGCACTGCAGCATGAAGGATCAAAAGAGTGCACCACGTGGCGCGACGTTCCATCAGTTTGTCGTGCCACCGATCCCAGAGAGCCGCAAGGATTGCGTGTACACCGATCTCCCCGCTTTTAAGCTTCCCAGGGAGTCGAAAGACTTCCGTTCGTGTGAGATGACCATGCCGCGCGGTCATGTTCACGCGTGCCATGCCGGGGCCTTGGTGCACGCTCTCGAGGGGTGGGACCACCACGAGGTAGGTGCTATCGACCATACGCGCATAGATTTAACTTGGGAGGCGGCGCTGAAACATGGTTTTTCGCTCGCGTAAGTCAAGAAGCTCGTCAGGAGGCGGTCTCTTTATTCTTTTCTCTTCGCCGACGTGGCTACACCACTGTCGGCGTTTGTACCCTTACTTTCCGGGTCGTAGCCCTGCATTGAAACAGTCGCAAAAGAACCTTGTCGATCACCGTCTCTGTCGCGCGCGTGCATCCGTTCGCGACACCAAAGAATGAATCGATCCATTGATTAAAAACACATGTCTCTCCTACCGGTACCTAAAGCGTGCGCCTCTTACCATCGCGCAAGTCTAGTTCGCCAAAACCTCACCCGTCTTGACCAACTTGCGAACCTTCTTCCCGTCGACAACCGCCGTGCCGACGCGCGACCGCACCTTTTGCGCCTCGCTGTAGTGCTGAACGTTGCTGTGGTGCACCGGGAACTCACGCTGAATGATGGAACCGGTTTCGCCCTCGCCTCGGGGCTTGATGTGCTTTGTCTTCACGTTGACATCCTTGCACAACACCTCGCCAGTCTTCGTGAACACCTCAACGACCTCCGTCACCTTACCCTTGTCCGCGCCGGAGATCACAAGCACCTTATCACCCGTCTTCACGTGCATAGGGATGCGCACGGGGAGGCCTCGCGGCGTGAGCGCCTGCTTCTCCCACTTCTTCTTGGCCACGATTTCGAGCGTCGTGCGGCGTCCTCGGGACGTCACCGAGCTCGACTTCTGCGCGTAGCGGAACGTAGGACAATCGTCAGTAATCTTATTCTCACGCATGTCGCGTCTTCACGTCCACGCCAGCGTCGCCGCGTACGCGTTCGCGTCATCATTCCTCGCGGCGGCGAAACCTAGGGCTTTAATTCGCGCGTGCGAATAAATCGCCCTCGTCGCCGCGACGCGACGCACGAGCGTCATCGAGATGCGTACCTGCTGGCCGAGCGCGTTCGTCGCGAACGCGGAGTTACGGGCGGTGAGGGTGGACGTCGCGTACATGGTCGTCGAGCGTCGAGCAATGTCGATGACGTCGTTGAGTCAGGCCTGAGGGTTTAAGGGGGGGCGGGGCCCACCTGCGAGGTGTAGAACGGACGGATTATATGTTGCGTGTCGGCGGTTGAAGCGTCGATTCAGGCAACAACGATGGCTAGACGAGACTAGAGATTGTAATACACTAGTGTCGGAGACGAACGATGAAATCGCGGAGCGGTTCGACTTGGTTTTTCACGGCAGAGAGGCGGTCGAACGTCGTTGGAGGACACGCCGTGGCGCGAGCGAAGGCGTCGAACGTGAACGCCTCGCCGGGTCTTTGGCCGAGCGTTCGATACTTGTCACGTTTTTTCTGCGCCGCAGCGTTCGCCCGACGCTGCTTGGAGTTGATAGCCATGCTCGGGAGCTCTCCCTCGGCGGCGCGTCGCACGGCTTCGATTTCTCGCTCGAGGCGCTTCCGGATGAAATCAGGCGGATGCGCCGTGAGCTTCTCGCCCTTGTTACACGCCAGCATGAGCGGTAAACGCCGTCGCTGAAAATTCTCGTCGCTCAAGATTGAGAACAGAAACTGCGCCACCTCCTTCCGTTCGTTCGCCACCGTCACGCTGTCCACGACGAACACCACTGCCTTCGCTTGCTTCAACCACAGCATCGCCTCTCGTCGAAGCTTTGGATGTCCCGGGACGTCGATGACCCGCACTTTCCGTTTCGTGACCTCCCTTCCGCGCGCGTCCTTCCCCTTGACGTCCTCCGTGAGCTCGTTTATCTCCACGCTCGTGCACGTGCCAAACTTTTGCTCGCCGTACGCCAACGACTGCCACGCACACGTCTTCCCGCTCCCTTTCGGACCCATGAGCACTATGGCGTCCGCGCGCGAGGACGTGGACAACCTTAACGCGCTCGCCGTGCGTCCGAGCGCGCGCGTGAGCGTCAGGGCGATCGCGACGCTGAAGAGCGTGCAAATAATCACGACGACTAAAGCGACGTCATCGAGACGCTCGAGCGGCACCGGAAGCGCGAGCTCTCGGATCTTGGCCTTGGCTAAGGCCACCGAGGCGCTGTGCGCCTCTAACAGGGCGGTACCCGCGGCCTGGACGTCAAAGGGCATGGCAAGAAATGCGGTAGTGGTAACGCGCGCCGAGCTCAAGTTACAATGTCGAGGGCTAGGGATTCGGGGTGTCTAGTGGGCGTTTTCGATTGCCGATCTGAGTAGGGAGATGACGTGGGCGGGGTCGGGGGCGGAGAAGATGGCGGATCCGGCGACGAGAACGTTGGCGCCGGCAGCGGCGCACTCGACCGCCGTCGTCGGGTTCACGCCGCCATCCATCTGGATGTCGATATCGGGGAAGCGCGAGCGAAGGGAACGGACTTTGTCGAGCACGCTAGGTTTGAACTTTTGTCCGCCAAATCCGGGCTCGACAGAGAGGCAGAGAACCATGTCCACCAGGCCCGCTTCGCAGAGGTCGTACACGCCGCTCGATTCGCACGATGTGGATGGCTTGCACGCGACGGCGACGCGCATTCCCAGCGAGCGAATCGTCCTGCACAGCTCCGCCGCACGTTCGCCGTTGACGACTTCGATGTGAAACGTCACGCTGGATGCCCCAGCCTTGGCGAGCGCGGGCACAAGCGTGGCAGGATTATTCACACTGAGATGGCAATCAAAGAATACGTCTCTGGGACCGACTCTCCTCGACAAATCCGCAACGACTGGAGGTCCAATGGTAAGATTTGGAACAAAGTGACCGTCCATGATGTCCACATGCAACCAATCCGCGCCCTCGTCGAGCATGCGGTTGACCTCAGACGCCAACGCTCCTTGGTCGGCGGCAAGCAGCGACGGGCACACTATCGCTCGCCTCTTCGTCGTCCGTTCGGGCGCTCGCTTGCAACCCAAGACATCACGCAGGGATGGGTACATGCGTAAATACGCCGGGTAGACATAACGCGAGTACGCGGCGTGCGCTTCGACGTTTGGCATAATAACTCGAGACTTGCGCACCATGGCGTTCACGGCGTCACGAATACTCTTGAAGGCACCGGCGCCGACGGCGGCAAGGATGGCACATCCGAGCGCAGGGGCATCGGTGCACTCCGTCACCACGTGCGGAAGCCCGGTAACGTCGGCACCGATTTGTAACCACAGTTCCGAGCGCGTTGTACCTCCGGCGATGACAACTTCCTTCGGCGCGTACCCTCCGCGCTCCATCGTCTCGAATATCAGTCGTGTGCCGCAACACACGCTCTCGAGGATGGCTCTGTACACGTGTGCTCGCGAGTGCTTCAAAGTGAGCCCAGATATGGCTCCACGACTGAGCGGATCGACGTGTGGTGTTCTGTTGCCCTGGAAGTGATCGAGCACTGTCACTCCCTCACATCCAGGCGGAAGAGCGCTCGCCTCGCGATTCATTTCGTCATAAAACTCATCGCCTCCACCACACAAGTCCTTGAACCACCGGACGACCGAGCCCGTGCTTGTCTGTCCGCCTTCGACGACGAACGGCGCGCTCTCCACGAGCGCAGCTCTGTACGTTCCAAAAATTCCCGCCGCATGGAATTCCTCATCCGTCACCCCTAAGTGCAGGTGTGAACTCCCGGTGATGAGCGCCATTTGTCCAGGCTCGATCACCCCCAAACCCACCATGCCCACGAACGCGTCAGCCCCTCCCTGAATCACCGGAGTTCCCTCGAGCAACCCGCAGTTTGCTGCGGCAACGGGCGTCAATCCCCCGATCACGCTCCCCATGTCCAAGATCTCTCTCGGCCACTTCAACAATAACTCACTCATCTCAAGTTTCTCCAACATTGTCCTGGGCGGTTCACCGGCGTCGAAGTGCCATCGAACACCGACGTTATTCCTCGACCCGCAAAACCGCCCAGTGAGTTTCAGGTTGATGAAGTCTTGATACTCACAAATCATTGAAGCGCCGTCGTATACCTCCCGTCGATTTTTCTTCATCCACAACGCCTTTGGTATCATCCACTCCGCGCTCACGGGCCCGCGTCCGTCGCAATTCACCCGCAAAGCGTCGTCGCTCGTCGCCAAGACTTCTCGCGTCTCTTCGCTCGCTCGGACATCCATCCACAACACGCACGGCATCAGCGCCTCCCCGTTCGCATCGAGGGCAACGACAGAGCAACACGTCGTATCTACGCACATCCCCAGCACGTCCGACGCGTCCACGTTCGCGCTCGCTAAGGCATCGCGCACCGCGAGCCCGAGTCCATCGATCCAATCTTTTGGATTCTGTTCGGCTCGTCCCGGTTCGGGGAACGTCGTCGCGTACGATCGCTCGCTGAACCCCAGGGGGGTGCCGTTGAGGTCGAAGACGCCGGCGCGCACGCCTCCGGTGCCGCCGTCGACACCGACGACGACGGGTGGCATGACGGCGGCGCGCGAGCGAGTGCGGTTCCGAGCGTGAAGGCGCCTTTGGCGATGGTCGGTGCGTCGTTTACATGTACACTCAGGGCGATGACGAGGGTGGGTTAGTCATCATCGAATTCGATCCAGGGTGGACGCGGAGGCGCGGCGGGCGGAGCGGAGGTCTTCGATCGACTCCCCGACGCGAGTGAACGCGCGGCGCCGAAGACGTCATCGCCGCCGGCGTGGCGGGTCGCCTGGATCGGAGCCTCCGCCTCGCTTGGATTCGTCGAAGCGGGCGGTGAGATCAAACCATCGGACCCGTCCGTGCTCGCGATAAAACTCGGCGGCGGAGGCGCGTGCATGCCGTCCCAGTCGTCGGTTGCGCCGGCGATGTTGACGCCGGCGTGGCGGGTCGCCTGGATCGGAGCCTCCGCCTCGCTTGGATTCGTCGAAGCCGGCGGTGAGATCAAACCATCGGACCCGTCCGTGCTCGCGATAAAACTCGGCGGCGGAGGCGCGTGCATGCCGTCCCAGTCGTCGGTTGCGCGCGACGCCGCCATCGTCGCGCTTCCAAGTCGGCGAATAGATTTCTCCGACGTTGTTTCACTCGCCGAGGCCGTACCGCTCGATTTGAAACGTCTTCTTGCCTTTGAAGGTGATGGCGAACTTCTTGAACGAGTGACCGCCGATGCTAACGGAGTCAATGGAGGCCGCCAAGATTCGTTTGACGCTCTCCAAAGCGCTTCGAGTTCGTTCTGTTTCTCGGCGAGAGCCAACAAATCTAAGTTCATCGTCCTGCTCAACTCGCGTATTTCCGAGGAGAGTGTGTCCACGCGCGAGATCGCGTCTACGATGCCGTCACTTTCTTGCGTCGCGAGAACGGACTCGACCTCGCGTCTGCAGCGCTCAGCGATTTCTTCATCCCTCGACTGTGCGTTCTGTATATCGTTTTCCCACTGCCTCTCACTAGCTTCAATCGCGACCGTGAGCTTTGCTAGCTGAGTGGTGCACTTCGTGAACTCTGCCTTAGATGCCGCTATGAGTACATTCGCTTGCTCTATCGTGATGGCCGAGTCGAGCTTGGCGAGGTGTGCGTCCGCATCAACTGCGGCGTCGCGCTCCGCCTTCAACTTGTCAATCTCTTCATTCAAGGCCTCGACGTGTTCTTCGTACGCTCTCTTGTTCGCCTCAAGATGCGCCTGTAAGGTTTCTATCTGTTCTATGGCCCTAGACTCTACGAATTTCACGCGCTCCGCCGCTTTACTGGTTAAATTTGAATAGTCTTCGCCAAATTTCGTCAGCGCCTTCTCCATGCGCTCGATTATTTTCGCTTGCTTCAGACCCTTCGATCGCTCGTCATCGAGAGACTTAACGACTAGACGTAAATGTCTTGGCGCCGACTCGCGCTCGTGCTGGCGCAGTTCTTCGCGCGTCCCTTGTTCTCGACAACCGAAAGACGCGTACGCGCAACTCGTCGCAGAGCCAGCGCAAAAGTGCTCTGTGTGCGCCTTAAAAGCCGCCTCTCGTACCATGGCGCGGCACCTGGGACATCGTTGGCGAGCGTCTCCACATTTCATTGCGTGCACCGAAGCGTTTATCGCGTTTATAACGAGATTGCAGCTTGGACAGCACCACGGACGGAAATCGCACTCGTGTCTATGCGCCTCAATGAGTGCTCTTTCGCACCCGTGCATACATCCGGCGCCGTGCTCGCGCTCGAGATCGATAAATTCGCACTTAACATACTCGCGTTCGCAAGACGCGCGATGCGTGGCTAAATCTCCTCGCTCGCCCTCCCACTCGCATGCGTTCGGACACGATACGCGCGCCTTCGGACACGTGCGTACGTGTTGCTCGCGCTTGCAATGCGGAACCATCTCCTCGCACCCAACCACGTCACATTTCTCTGCACGCCACTCACACGTCGCCGCGTGCGCCGCGTACGCGAACTTGGTCGTCATATATCCACAATAATCCCTCCCCGCGCGAGAGTCGTCTCGCGCCGTCGCCTCGTGTCTCGTCGCGTGCGGGTACCAACACCGTCTCTGCCTGAACCCACACTCGCGATCGTGTACGTCTCGCATACGTAATCTAATCCCATTCTCTCCACATCCGTCCGCCTTCCACGTCCACTCGCTCTCGCCGTTCGCGTTCCTCCTGAGCGTCAGCGCCCGTCTGCACAAAACCGCCAACGCCTGTATCCCATCCTCCACCTCCGCGTTCTCCGTCGCACCAACCTCCAACCCTCGCGGGACGCACTTCAAACAGTACGTCTCTCCATCGCTCGCGACGACCGGATCGTCGTACACGTCTCGACACGTCCCGCACACGTACGACGCGTGCGGAAAACCGACGAACACCGCGGGCGCTTGGTCGAGCCCCGTCTTCCCCTCCTCCTCCGCGCACACATCGCTCGACGACGACGACGCGTCGTCCACGCGCTCTCCCTCCGTTCGCTCGTCCTCGACCGACGCCCGCGCGCGCGCGCGCGCGGTCCAGGATTTCGTTCGGTTGGGCGAGAGCCAAAAGTCCGTCCCGTTCCCACGCCCGTCGCGCAGACGGCGAAGACCGGGCATGGCGTCGCGCCCGCGCCCGTGGACGCGCCCGTCGAGCGCCCCGGCGCGCGCCGCGGACGCCGACGCGCGCGTCGACGCCCGCGGGGCGGTCGCGATGTGTCACGTATGCCAGTCCACGTATTGAAGGGCGTACACGTCGATGGAAAACGACCGCGGCGCACCTCGGCGCCGGGGCCGCACTCCGCGACGCCCCGCGCGCGGTCGCCTCGCGCGCGCGGCGTTCGCGCGTATTTTCTCCGTCCACGCGCGCCGTCGCGTCGGTGATCGAGCGCGGTGCGCGAGAGGCGCGCGCGGTTGTCGAGAAGCAAACCCTGGGTCCACGATCGCGCGCGAAGCGAGATTTCCACCCACCATGGCGCTCACGAGCGACGAGATGAACTATCTCGTCTACCGATATTTGCTTGAGAATGGATTTACCCACGCCGCGTTCGCGCTCGGGCACGAATCGCGCGTGGACGGAGCGAAAGTCGCGGAGGGGGATGAGAAAATTCCACCGGGCGCGTTGATCGCCTTCACGCAGAAAGGGTTGCAGTACTGCGAGATCGAGGCGAATCTGAACGATGTACGTGTGTGTCGTTGTTTTAAAATCCTTTACGTTGGATTCCGTGACGAAAGTAGCGCGACGATGCGTCGCGCGGGCGCTCGATCGCAGATTTCAACTCGAATCGCCTTGGAATGCATTTTAAGAATGCATTTCGAGAATTGATGTTGAACACGATCGATTCGCGACGGGAGCGATGACTGACGAGTGCATTTATGACAACGTAGGACGGCACGGATGTCGACGCGGATTTCAGCATACTAAGTGCGAAAGATTTGCTCTCGCACACCGTGGACGAACTCAAAGCCATCGTGGAGAAGCGCAGGAACATGTCAGAGGAGGAGCGAAAGGCGCTCAGAGAGGAGGAGGAGAGAGAGATGCGAGCTAAGGCAGAGGCGAACGGGATTAAGATCGAGAACGACGTCGAGAGGGAAATCAAGGCGGATGAGGTGACGATTCTGGACGGACACACGAGCGAAGTTTTTATTTGCGCGTGGAATCCGACGAAACAATTGCTGGCAAGTGGGAGCGGCGACAGCACGGCGCGGCTGTGGACGATTCCGGCCGGACCGTCTGGCCGCGAGGCGCAGACCAAACTCTCGAAGCCGAAGGTTTTGGAGCACAAGAGTGATGAAGGTGACGCCGTCGACGCCATGGACACAGATGAGGCAAAGAATGGCGAGTTTACCGCGGACGGCAGCAAACAAAAGGACGTCACCACGCTCGATTGGAACGCAGACGGCACGCTCCTTGCGACGGGGTCGTACGATGGCCAAGCTCGCATCTGGGATGCGAGTGGCAAGCTCGTAAGGAGCCTGAAGATGCACAAGGGTCCTATTTTCTCGCTGAAGTGGAACAAGACAGGCGAGTATCTGCTGAGCGGCTCTGTGGACAAGACGGCCATCGTCTGGGAAGTGGCCACGGGCGCGATGAAGCAGCAATTCGCGTTCCATTCCGCGCCCACCCTGGACGTGGACTGGAGAGACGCACAGTCGTTTGCCACTTCCTCTATGGACCACTCCATCTACGTGTGCAAGCTCGGTGATGACAAACCTATTAAGTCGTTCAAGGGACACAATGACGAAGTCAATGCCATCAAGTGGGATCCCAGTGGTACGCTCCTCGCGTCTTGCTCGGATGACTTCACCGCCAAGGTGTGGAATGTGAAGAAAGATACGTGCGTACACGATCTCAACGAACACGAGAAGGAAATCTACACTATCAAGTGGAGCCCGACCGGTCCGGGCACTGACAATCCTAATCTTCCGCTCATTCTTGCGACCGCGTCGTACGATGCGACGATCAAGCTGTGGGATGTTGACTCGGGTAAGTGCTTGCACACCCTCGAGGGCCACACCGACCCGGTGTACTCCGTCGCTTTTAGTCCCGACGGCAAGTACCTAGCGAGTGGCTCCTTCGACAAGAACTTGCACATCTGGGACGTGAAGGACGGGACTTTGATTCGCACGTACCACGGCGAGGGAGGTATTTTCGAGGTTTGTTGGAACAAGGAAGGTACCAAGATTGCCGCCTGCTTCTCAAACAACCGAGTCTCCGTGCTCGATTTTGCCTGAGCGCATGAACAAAGACTTCCAGAAGTGAATCCGCGTCAATAGCAAATAGTCTTTCATCAGAGAATCATATTTTCGTGGGGGCAACGACGCGATACTATCATCTATTACTCGTTCGTTTTCGTCTACAAAAAGGCGAGGCGCGTCACGGGCGCGGAATCGTGTACGTCGCCCACAAAGCCCGCGCCTCATCGAGCTGGTTCTGAGCAACACTGCACGCCTCGAGCATGAAGGTCACTTTGGCGTCGTCGCCGTTCCACTCTTCGATTCGTTCGCGTAAAATGTGACTCGTGGTCTTCACCCTTCTCACCGGATCCCGCAAGTGCTGCGCGACGAAGACGGCCCACTCGCAGTGACCGTTCGCCGACATACCAAGGAGTTGGGTCGCGAACGCCACCGTAATTTCATCGGCGAGAGCGTCCATTTCTTCTCCCGCAAGAACATCGATGGCATCCAAAATGCCAAAGAGATGCCACGCCAACGACGAGTCCAACACGTCATCGGAGTACGTAAGCGGATGAAACGCGACGCGAACCTCCGCTGCGGTCGGTGAACAACCGTTGTCTTCCGTCGACGCTGCGAGGGCTAGGATGTTGAACGCGACGTCGCGCAGATGGATCGCTTGGTTAGCATCTAGACATTCGTAGCCTGCGATGGGCGGCACGGGATTTGCCGCGCGGTCCGTTGCCACGGCGTCAAGATACTTTTGCACAACCTCTCGCAGTGGCGAAGTCGGACCCGACGCAAGCCACAAGTGCAGGCCCAAGTTTTGATACCATCCCATGCCGTCGGCGTCTCTCTCGACTTCTCCGGCCAAAAGCTTGAATGCCTGTTCGCTTTCAGAGTCTACGTACTTCCCAACAGAGTTCACGCGCCATCGCGTGAGCTGCTGCTTGGCATAAAACGCCACGTTTTTACTAGAGCCGATTTGCGCCAAGAACGTTGCCAGGCGCGGATCACCGTGCGCCGCCGCCGCACGTGCCGCACTCACTTTTCGACCTCCCGCGGCGTGAGTAAGCATCGCACGCCTCCCTTCTAACTCATCTTCCGATGGGCGCGTTCGCGCGACCTGGTCGCGCAACCAAGTGCTCACACCCGCGCGACGACGATGCACTTCTGCTGCGGTGCCTCGAGCCGCTCCAAACTTGTCCTCAGCAAACAACTCGCTCGTAAGCGCCCACGCGCTCACCTCCGCCTCGGCGCGCGCGCGCGCGCGATTGTCGTCCAAGTCCCCGCTCGAGCTCGCTAACGACTCCACGACCGCCTCCAGATGCCGTAGACACACCGCGGCGACTCCGTACGGCGCCGCCTCTCGCGCCTCTCTCGAGCACGCCAAACGTAAACCTCCATCCGCCCTACGCACCGCCTGATCGAGCGCCACCGCGAGCGCCCCCTCGACGCTCTCGAAGGTCGCCCGCGTGCGTACCGCTTTTAACACCACCGCATCGCTCTCGATCGCCGGCGCGCCGACGACGCCTCTCGGTCCGTGCGCCGCACCGCGCGAGCCGCTTCGCCCCCCGTACGCGTCCACCCCCCCGAACGTCGTCTCAAACGTCGTCGGCGCGCTCGTCCGAACGTCGCACGATTTCAACTCCAGCGCCCGAACCGCCACCGCGACCGCCTTCGCTGCGAGCGGCGCGCGCGGTCGAGCCGTCGAAACCGCCGCGCGACCGTTCGAATCGCCGTCTCGCGTCTCCGCGTCTTCGCGCGCGCGCGCCGCGCCCGTCGCGGCCGCGTCGACGTCCGCGTCGACGTACCGATCGTTCTCGATCGCTCGCACGGCGTCTTCGTGCTCGCGAAGCGCGCGCATCGCGTCCGTGAGGTCGATCGCGTCGCCGCGCCCGAGACTCTCAGAGAATCCACCGGGCGCGTCCTCATCCATGAAATCATCGTCGATCGGGGGCTTTCGCGAGCGATTCGCGACGCCGAGAGGGGTGAGCTCGTCCTCGGTCTCGGAGACGTCGGAGTCGGAGTCGAGGAGACCGACGCGGGTGGCCATGTTGAAGAGGCGAGATGTGCGGGGCCGCGGCGCGCGTGGAACTGGCGAAGACGCGAGCGCGTGAAATATTACATACGGTCGTGCGCGTATTATTCGACCAAGTGCACAAAATCTAAGGTGCGATGGAGTCCAGAGCCATGAATGTGTCGACCCAGGCGGTTCGTTCGACCACGTTTTGGGGCTCTGTCGCGTCTCGAATCGGCGGCACGCCTCGGCCGCGATACGCCGATCGAGTGAGTGTCTCCACCGCCTTGGGCGGTGGTTGGTTCGCCAACGCGTCCCAATCGACGTCGCACAACAGATCACACTGCTTCACTGACGATGTACTGTGCAGACGACTGTCCGGGTCGACGACGAGGAGGCACCGCGCGAGGATCTCCGCCTCAGGAATCTTCTTATCGATCGACGCCGGGAACGCGCTGGCCAAATCGCACATGCAAATCGCCTCGTATGTCTTGTGCCCTACCGTCATCCCGAACGGGGGCGCCCCACGAAGAAGGTGCGCGATGAAGACGCCCAGTGAGAACCAGTCGGCACGCTCGTCGTGGCCTAGGCCTCGAACGACTTCAGGTGCCATGTACGCCGCAGCGCCGCACACAGTATAAGTCCTCCCGGGAGTCTTGTCCGTCACGGAGAGGCGCTTGGCGAATCGGAAGTCCGTTAAACGAAGCATGCCACGCTCATCGATAACCATGGTCTCCGGATCCATGCCTCGGAACACGATGTCCATCGAGTGCATGTACTCGAGGACGACGACGAGCGATGCGATGTAGTATCGCACCACTTCAATATTTGACCCACCGCCGCACGCGATCACAGCCTCCAGCGCACACCTCGGAACGAAAGGATACGGGATGGAGATGAAGCTTGCGTCTCTTGACGGGATACCCGGCGTCGGAATGAAGGACGGTGGCAAAGTAGACCCAGCGGTGAGAGCGGTGATGATTTTGCGCTCGCGCAGAACGCCTTCCACTCGAGAGAGCGACTCTGTCCTCGCGAGGGAAATTTGTACTGTCGCCTCCTTGTGCATTCCCTTAGTCTCGCGCATGTGGCCAAGAAGTGTCATGTACAACGCCTCACGCGTAGCGCGATCGTCATCGCCGAAACTCAACCTCCGTTCATGGGGAATGTCCAAACCCGCCGAGGTGCGAGGTGCGAGTAAACGCTCGCTCGATGCCGTTCGCTCCAACGCCGATGATGTTCGCATTATTACTTCGCTACCAGTGACAGATGAGATGTCCTCTCTCGTGACTTTCCAAACCTGCACATCATCGCTGAGCGACTGAATGTTTGTCGCGCATGGCGCTCCAGCTGCAGAAAGCAGAGCGCGTTCACCAAAATATTGCCCGACTGTCAACTTCAGAACGACCCTGGGAGGTTCGCTCTCGTCGCGTGCGTTCGACCTCACGGTACACGCGACCTCTCCCTTGTTCATGACGTGCATTGCGGTGAGAATCTGTCCTTGATTCGCAATGAGCTGATCCTTAGCTGTCTTGACGAGCGAGTTGGCTCTGTTGAGGACAATCTTCGCCGCTACGCGCCTCAAGTCACTCAAACTCACGGGCTTCAACGCATCGACTCCTCGGAGCACACGTGTCAACATATCAACGCTTCGTTCATTGGCCTCGCGCGTGATAGTGACGTATGCGGCGAAATCTAGAACCCAAAGCACTCCGTCGCTGGTAGCAGTCACTGTCTCGTGCGGCATCTGTGCGTGCGCCATGCACTGTTCGTTAAAGCACATCCTATCCCCGTCTCTACCGTACGCTCGCAACTTTTCGGTTTGCTTCTTCTTCGCATTGTCGTCTCCCTCGTTCTCGACCCATTGCACGTTGTCTCGTCCAGTCAGCGTCCCGCTCTGCACGACGTACAACGCTCGCACGCAGTTTTTGTCGTTCTGTGTCACGATGACGTCGCCGTTTTCGAAGCGCTTCTTGTACATGACCTTGGCTACTTGCTCTAACAAGTGTTCTGGGGCGTCGTAAAATAAGAACGACTGCCTGATGATAGAAATCAGGGGCGACCTGTCCGACGAAATCGCGATTGACAAATCTCCCATCTGTTCCTCCAACGGACTGCCGTCTTGGAGCGTGATATCCGATGGAACCCCGTACGGGTGAACGACGCGATAGCTACGACGTGTTTGCATGGTAAAAGTCGGCATGACACGACGTCTCGGTCTCGCTGACGACGGAAACGGCGACGAGAGCGGGTCCATGCGATCCGGAAAGTTGAACAGAGCCCCCACGCTTTGGACTGATTTGAGCGGCGTGACTGGTGCGATTTCTTGCTGTTTCTCCTCCAGGAAGTCCTCTATCAGGATGACGATGACAGTGATATCATCCGTGCGTGTCTCGTACTGCAGCCAAAGCTTGTAGGACTCGACCACGAGCGCGATGGCGCTTTGCTGTGGATCCTTCGTCGACGTCGCCGCCTTGACCACGCTTGTCGATGGAATGAACTCGAAAACACCGTCCGAGGCAATGATCACTGCCTTAGTATCCTCGCTCAAGCGAACGTGCTCGATTTCCGGAGTCGAGATGACGCCTATGCGCTCGGCCACGGCGTCGCCGATGGAACGCGTGAACGCTGTTCCTGGATACATCCCGTTCTTTGCCCAAAGCCTCGGAGGATCGCCGTCGTCGTCTTGCTCCGTCCCCCAGCACTGCACCGCGGGATCCTTAAACCCCTCGAGTTGATCGAGCGTGAGCACGCGCGCTCCCTCTCGCTTCACTCGCTCGCACTCATCCGCGCGAAACGGCGTCTGATCCGAGCTCAAATCAACCGTGTCCACCCCCGTAACCTCTCCCTTGACGTTCCTCGTCGCCATTGCCATCGTCGCCCGCGAATCCCCGCAGTTCATCACATACATATCCCTTCCTTTGATGTGCGCGATAACCGCCGTGGTTCCGCTCAACGAATCATCCACGTCGCTCGCCCGTAACCCCGCATTCGTCGCCCGAAACGCCGCCTCGTACGCGCTCACGTTCCCGAACCCCCTCGTCGCGATCTCCATCGGCAGTCGTTCGCACGCGAACTCCGCGCACTCCGTCCCAAACTCCCCGTGTCCATCGAACACGCCGAACAACAACTCATCCTTTTTACCTCGGAAATTCCGTGCGCACACCCACGCGTCTTGATTGCGCTTATTCGGCGCCTCTGGGTAGTATCCGCGCTGGGAGCACAGCGCGTATCGTAATGTGTACGACCGCGCCTCCCCGCTCTCGCCCTTAAACGCGACATCGATCGCGTTCGCCCCGTGCACGCCCGTTAACCGCGCGTTGTATTCGTCCTGCGTCAACGGCCCTCCGCGCAGGCGCACTTGGTAGCTCACGCTCGGTGATTTGGATTGTGATTGTTTCGTCTTTGACGCGTCGTTCGCGGACGTCGACGCGCGTTCGGGCGAGCGGACGACGGCGGTGCCGTCCTTGGATGTTCCCTCGGCGGTGGCGGAGGAGGCGCAACCCATCACCGGCGTGCAGGGAGTGCGGACGACTGGAATGTCGACGACGGACCAACGGTCTTTGCGGGCGGGGCGAGGCGACGCGCGCGGAGCGAGGCGCGCCGTCGGCGGTGTGATGGGAAGTCTATCGCGTCACATACGGTCGTGTTACAATGAGTCCTTGAAGACGCGATCGGCGGCGAACTTGGCGCTCTCCGATGTGAAATCTTTCGCGCGAGACGAGCCGGCGGGGCGGACGCCCTGCACGCCGACCGTCGGTCTTCGGGAGTCCCAGTCCTCTTCCTCGGTGACGACGTTCGACGTGACGACGAGCTTGGCCCCTCGCTTTTGAGCCTCCTCTATGCGTTGGCGAATCTTATCGGACTGTAGGGCGTTGAAGGGACTCACGCCCGTGGTGGTCGGCGCGGCGGCCTTGCCAGCGGTGAAATCAAACACTGAAGCCGAAGCACCGGGGTCGCCGCCTCGAGGGCCAACGTCCATCAGGTTCTGCACCGCCTGGTACACCGCCTCGACGTTTAGCTCCATATTTATTTGCTTCTTCTCGATTGCGTCGGCGCTCATGACGATTTGAGACGTGTTCAGGGGCGTCTCCTCTCCCATCGAGCCAACTTTCTTCACCTCAACCATCACCTCGGCGATTTGCTCGGAGACGTTGACGATGTCTGCGTGCATCTGCTGCATGGCGAGTTTGATCGCGCCCATCGTCGCTCCAGGCGTCCCACCTCCCGACATTGCCTTGGAATCGATCGCCTCTAATCCACCTTTGTTGACGAGTCCCATCACGCCCGCCTTCTCTCTCTCTGCTCGTTTTTCATCCTGCTCTTTTCGCTCCTTTTCGAGCAACTCGCGCCAATTTTCGGCAACGTTTCGCGTCTCGGGATGCAGTAGCGCTCGTCTATCACACTCACTCAACGCGACGCGAGCCATCTTTGGCCTATTCAACCGCGATAGTGATGCAAAAAACTCGTCTTCGAAGTTTCGCAGCAGATTAGGCTGATGTTGTGAACACATGTCGTAAAAAGCACCGTGATCCAAGACGAGCGCCTCGACGTACTTATCAAACGGCATGGCGCACAATATTCCCTTGTGGAAACCAGACAGTAGTCCAGGATTCAAAAGCGTCCCAGGGCCTCTGAGTAGCCCTTTCTCCTCCGCGATCTCTATCTGTTGATCACGCAGACGTTTGCGTTTGATTCTCATCACATCGGCGTGATGAAATCCACTCTGTTCATCAGGAGAATACGTCACCCTGCCTGTCAGCGTGATGAGCATCCTCTCAGCCAATTCATACGGATAACACATCCTGGAGCCACGAGCGAACATTTTAGTGTCCATCGTGCGACAGAGAATCTCTATGACGATCGAATCGGGCTCCACAGTCCCGCTCGCTGTTAGACCGGTCACCATCGGCTTGCCATAAATGTAAAAGTTGACGTCGGCGCGAATCGCTTCTGGAAGGGGTTTAATGATGTCGCGATTCACCAACTTGGCTGGTTTCGCAGATGACTTATAGTGTGACCGCACGCGAGATTGTAACCCACTAGGCATCTTGTTTTCCGCGAGCAGTTCTCTCACGTGGTTCATGAGAACCGCAAAGCGGTTGCCTGGCGAATCCTCATCCATCGTCATGTTCACGCCAGAGATGATGGCGGAAAACACAAACCCACCGGTAATCATGACTAGGATCGCGACGACTCGCTCGGCCACCGTCGTTGGCACGACATTACCGTAACCCACCGTGGTTAGCGTTTGCACCGCCCAAAATAGCGACGCTACGTACATGTGGCTCTTTTGTCCGCTCTCTCCGCTCATGTCTTCACGAGTGAAATCGTACACGTAAGCGTACAGGCAAGCCGTCCAGTGCGACAAAAGTATGAGAAAGGCAACTAAACGGAGAATCGTAACACCTTTGTACACGCGCAAGAGGGTTTCTTGGTAACGCTCCAGGATTCTCATCGTTCGAAGCACACGAAGGAGACGAAGCATCTTGAACAAACGGAAAACCTCTGGAACTTTCGAATCTTGCGCCGCCGCACCGCACGCGGCCTCCGATTCCCAAGAGCACGCCGACGTTCCATCCACACCGCGACTAATGTAATCGATGGGAATCAAAGACACGGCGTCGATGATGAACCACCCCTTGAGGTAGTGTTTTTGGATCTTCCACAAATTCGTGACGTAGTGATAATCGTCGTCGTCTGAGCTCGTCTCCCAATACGCCGTGAAAAAGTTGAACACCATGTCCACGTAAAAGTACATATCGATGAAAAAATCGGCGATGTACCAAACCCCGTACGAGGGTTCGGAGAAGCCAATGCGATAGGGCACTGAGAAGGCGATGTACATCAACAAAAAGATTTGCAAAAAGTCCCAATACTGCCTCAACTTGGTCGTCGGGTGCATGACGAACAAGGACCTGCTCTCATCGTCGTCCGCGTACTTCGCAGCAGCCTTCGGATCGTCGTCGTCGTCCGAGTCGTCTTCGAACATCCCCAGCTCGTCTCCGCTCAACTCGTCCAGGCGTCGCGCGCTGAACATTCCGACCCGCTTCTTCGCCGCCTGCTCCGCCATCACCGTCAGCTCCTCCGCCTTCAATCGTTCCACATCCGCTCGCAGTTTCGCGTCCTCCTCCGCCCGCGCCTCATCTCGCGTCTTCGCCAATCCGTGCTTCGCCTTGGACGCGCTCCCGACCGGGACGCGCGCGATCCCTCGCTTCGCCGCCGCCTTCGCCGCCGCCATCAGCGCCTTCGCCCGCTCCTGCGTCGTCATCCCCGCCGTCGACGGCATCACCACCACCCCGTCCTCGCTTCCCGCGCTATCGCTCGTCCCCCCGCGCTGCCCGACGTCCGTCGCCCTGGGTGTTGGCCCATCGAATCCATCCTCGCTATTCCCCTCGTTCGCGCGTCCACGTCTCGTCGGACGCGTCGACGCGCGCGCCGGGGCCGCCGCGCCGCCCGCGCGCGCGCTCACGGGCGCCATCGCGCCGTGACGCGCGCGTCTGTCGCCGGCATCGCCAGGCGCTCGACGCATCCGTTGGTGTACGTATTGGACGTCGTACACGCCCATGTATTGGACGAACACCATCGCACGCATCCGAATCCATCGTCGCGACGCCTCCGTGAGCGCCCCGCGCGCGTCGACGCACGGGCGATGCGTCGCGCGCTCGCGCGCATCGCCGCGCGCGCGAGTGCGCGCGCGACGCCGCGCGCGCGGACGTCGCGCGAGGGGAGATTCGCATCGAATGCGATCGGTGCCGACGCCGACGACGGCGTCACGCTCACGGACGCGTGCGCCGCGCGCGTGCGCGCGCTCGAGCGCGAGGAGGGCGGGGCGACGCGCCTGCGGTTGGCGGTCCGGGGGGGGGGGTGCTCGGGGTTCACGTACGAGTTCACCCTCGAGCGCGGCGCGAGGGCTGGGGCGGATGACAAGACGTTTCGAGCGGCGAACGGGGCGGAGGTGGTCGTGGACGGCGTCTCGTACGAGTACGTCAAGGGAAGCACGATTGATTACGTGGAGGAGATGATAAAGAGCTCGTTTGAGGTGGTGAAGAATCCGAGGGCGAAAGGGAGCTGTGGGTGCGGGGCGTCGTTCGACGCGGAGGACGCGTGAGACGGGACGCGCGAGGGGGGCGAGGGGGGCGTCGGCGACGGCGATGTGGACGTGGACCAGGCTCGGACGGGGAGGCGATGGCGACGAGAGCGATGCGATGGGTGTTGTAATGGAAACTGTGAAGCAAAACGTGGTTGATTGATGTCATCAAAACGAGGACGACGGAGGAAAACGCTCACGCGGAGCGCGCGGCGTCGATCTCGGCGAGCACTCTCGCGGCATCGCTCGCGGGAACGATCCGGGGCGTTCCTTCCGGTGGATCGCGACCCATGTCCGCCCCGATCGTGGAGTCGTCGACGACGGTGAAGCACGGCACGTCGGCGAATTTACCGTCGGCGTACTCGTGAATCTTCTTCACCCCGTCCAGAAACGGCAAGCTCACCATGGCCGCGAATTCGTGCACCTTCGCCCCGAGTTGATCCACCAAGTTAAATCCAGCGATCGCGGTCCCACCCGTGGCGATCAAATCGTCGATCAACACCACGCGATCCCCTTCGCGCACGCTTCCGAGCCGCATCACCGTCTCATCCGTCGAATACTCCGTGACGTACTTCCCGCTCGACACCAACACCCCCGGCAGCTTTCCAGCCTTGCGTATCATCACGAACGGAATGTTCAGCGCCATAGCGATCGATGGTCCGAACAAGAATCCGCGCGCGTCGAATCCCGCCACGTGCGTCGGTCCGTCCGCGCCCTGCGCCCGGTACCGCTCGACGAACACTTCGATCACCTCCCTGAACGCCTCCGGGTTCTCCGTGATCCCGGAGACGTCGTAAAACGACGGCACATCGTGCGGGGAGTACTTCGGGCCGTACCACGGGAGGGATTTCGCGATGCGCACCGCGCGCGGGTCGGTTTGGTCGACGCAAAAATGATTCGATCTGTCCGGGACGTCAAAGCGTTTCACACCGCGTCAGTCGACGCGCGCGCGCGACGTCGACGCGCGCGCGCGAGCGTAACGAGACAGTTGAGCGCGCACGCGCGCGCGCACCCGAGTTCTCGCACGCGAACGACCATGACGGACGCGTCTCTAAAAAGTGCGCGGTGGAGAGTGACGGCACATAACGGCGCTCGGCGCGTCGCGCCTCCGTCTCGAGCGTCGCGCGCGAGGCGAGCGTCGATGATGGCGTCCACGCGCGCGTGCGTCGCGTCGACGTCGCGTGCGACGCCGGAGAGGGCGCGATTGAGTCGAAAAGCAAAGGCTCGCTCGGTCTCGGGACAGAGAGAAAGAATCGTCGCGCGCGCGTCGAGGACGACGCTCCGCGACGCGCTGCGCTCGAACGAGTCGAGAGGATCCATCGTGTTCGTCGTGGACGAGGGTGAGAACACGCGGGCGGTGTTCGTGGGCGGTGGACGGGACGCGCTCGAGGCGTACGCGGAGTCGACGGAGCGAGACGTCGAGACGCTGTGGGTACGATGGGAGACCTTAGGGCGTCGCGCGCGGGCGAGCGCTTTGAACGCCAAAGTAAAGGAGATTATCGCTGCGTTGGGATACGCGCCGGAGGATAACGCGGGGGCGGTGGCGAGCGCGACTCAGAAGGCGGCGGAGCCGACCGGCGGCGGGCAGGCGACGTTTGCGCGGAGCCATCTGGAGGCGCTCGACCGCGACGGTATCGTCGTGATCGATGGCATGTTAGACGCTGAGACATTGAACGACGCCGTGGAGTCGGTGCGAGCGCTTCACGCGCGCGGTTTGATGCGGAATCTGGAACAGAGCGGTCGAGACGACGACGTGGCGGTGCTCTCCGGTAGCGCGCTTCCGTCCGGTAGAGAGTTCTTAGGATTACGGCCGGTCGTCAGACTCTTGCTTGACGTCCCAAATGGCCTACGTCGCGCGTTGGACGACAATACGAACGCCGAAATCTCCGAAGATACGCGATCGAAGATCCGTAGATGCGCTCCGCCAGACCGTCTCATGGCGGCTCGATATGGCCCTGAAAACTGTCGCTACGTCGCCCACCTGGATAACGATCCCAGAGATCCTGGCAATGACGTCGGCACACCCGGTCTCCGCCCCGCAGACCGCGTCTTCACCTGCATCGCCTACCTCAATCCGAACTGGATCCCCGCCCACGAGGGTCGATTTCGATACTTTCCGCTCGGCGCCGACGTCTCTTCCTCCGATTTCACCGACATCGACCCACTCTGCGGTCGCGTCGTCGTGTTCGACTCTTCAAAATTACTTCACGAGGTCCGTCCGAGCGCCGCCGATCGCTTCGCCGTCACCGCGTGGACTTACGATCGCTCCCGCGTCTCGCGATCCGTTCCGTCGTCTCGTGCAATTCATCCACTCCCGGGTCTGTCGTAATCGTCACATTTCCAGCCCGCCACGCCTCGACGCTCGACCGTCCGCGCGCGCCGACGCCGACGCGCGCGCGGGCGTCGCGCCCGCATGTTCTCGCGCTCGAACTCCGATGACGTGGTCGAGGCGCGGGCGCACGCGACGGCGAACGCGCCCGATCGCGATCGAATCGTCGGCGTGAAACACGAGGCTGCATCCACGCGAGATTCGTTCGTTCGCGAGGTGCGCGACGGCGAAAACGGGTCGAGAGCGACGGATGATGACGCGTCGACGAGCGGCGACGCGAGAGACGGCGGTGGAGAGGGATCAGAGGAGGCGGGGAACGTTAACGGGCGTTCGGGACGGGAGCGAGGACAAAGCGAGGGCGCGAATGCGGGACGGATGGCGCTGAACGCGAGACGACCGAGCAGGGATCACGAGCGAACACCGAATAAATTTCTGCCGTGGTTATCGAACACACCGACCCTGGATGGAACGCTGGAGAAGCGACAGGAGACGGAGGGCTGGTGGGCGAGTCTGTTTGGAGGTGGGACGGAACAGTGGGGGCTTCGGTACTTTTTGTTGTACGACACGCATTTGTTCTGGGGTAAGGGTTTCAGTACAATGCATGGATACGGGACGGTGCTGAGCGTGCGCGAGGTTCCGGAGCTCGGGCCCACGTCTTTCGCGGTTGAAATGATGGCCGTGCCGAAGAGGAACTTGCGAAGATCGTTTAACGATAACGTCAACTTCCTGGATTTGATATCTGGGTTGTGTTGTAAGCCGGCGGGATTCAGAGTGATGTACCTACGCGCGACGAGTCCGAAGGAGATGCAACGATGGATGGAGGGATTCTGTCGCGGGACCTCGGACACACCAGTCTCGACGAGGATGCCTTTGGACTTTTCAGAAGAGATCCCACCGTCGCCGCGAATTTCGACGGATAGTGAGCTGTCGATCGATACCTTTTCCGGAACGGGTACACGAACGCGATACGAAGAGCCTCCGCCGCCACTCTCTCCGGGCGGAGCGTCGCGCGAGTTCCTGAACACGAGTCCCGAGACGGAGGACGTACCTTTGTTCCGACTTGATGCAAACGGCGAGTCAGGCGAGTTTAATCACAGCACGCAGCAGAAATCGCCCGTGCGCACGCGATCGGTGTTGAAGTCCAACTCGATGCTACGTAATCACGAACAACGGCAATCTGTCGACGGCAATTGCTCGAAGTCAGTGACTTTTGATGACCATGTGGAGTCTGTCGTCATCGCGAGATCGCCCGTCAAGCAGCAAGGTATCGTGCCGGCGCAGGAGACGGACCGTGAATTCAGAACGCGAACGAGACTATTAAAAGCCGCTGGTTCCTTCAAAATATCTGAGAGTGAGCTACAGATAGGTGCCAAACTTGGTATCGGTTCGTTTGGCGTCGTGTACCGAGCTAAGTGGAACGACACAGACGTCGCGTACAAGGTGATGCTTCAGGATAAAATGAACTACGAAACAGTCAACGCTTTTGCGGAAGAAATACGCATGATGCGCGGCCTGAGGCATCCGAACATCGTGCTGTTCATCGGTGCGGTGATTCAGCCTAATCGTTTGGGGATCGTTTCCGAGCTCATGAAGCGCGGGAATCTGGAGTTTCTGCTGCACGGCAACAGCACGATGGGTCGACAACTTCGAGAGAACGGTATGTTGCGTCGACAGATGGCGGCCGATTGCGCTAGAGGGATGCTGTATTTGCATTCTCTTTCCAGACCCGTCGTTCATCACGATTTAAAGCCCGCTAATCTGGTGGTCGACTCGAACTGGACGCTCAAGGTGAGTGACTTCGGCATGGCACAGCTGAAAAGTTATACATACGATTCCGTCAGCGGAGCACCGGGCGGAACCCCGGAGTGGATGTCCCCAGAGGCCCTTCGAGGCGACAAAGCGAACGAACGATCGGATGTCTACTCCTTTGGCGTGATTCTGTGGGAACTCATGACGGTTTCATTTCCTTGGGCGGAGCTCTCGTCACCCGTGCAAATCGTCGCGCAAGTGGCCTTTTTGCATCGCCGGTTGAAGGTACCCGAATGGATCGAGAAGCCCATGGCAGATCTCCTCCACAGCTGTTGGGCTCGCGAACCGGAGGAGCGTCCGACGTTCGAGAAAATTGTCGAGCAGCTCGCTGGCGAATATCCTCAGGCGTGGTCTCTCGGCCAAGTTGACAAGAGCGCCGACGAACAAGCCGCGAATATTCTAGCCATGATGTCCACCGGCAAAGGCGCGTCATCCACGGAAGCTGATAGCGCAGACAGTTCGAACGAGGAAGAATTCGTGGACAACGTCGTCGAAGTCTCCGTCATCAGCGCTTTCGCCCCCAGAGGGCTGAAACCCATCCGGACGCCGACGCCCGTGACCGACGTCCCCAAGCAAACCGACACCCTGGACACCGAGGAAGACTCCTCCGAGGAGTCCAACTCACTGGACGCTCCCAACGGCCGCGCGTCAGCCTCAGCAAACGGCACGGTCATGACTACCGTCAACGAGTTCCGCCCGAGACTTTCTCCGCTCAAGACGCCGCGCGCCGAGCTCCCGTCCGCGCTCCCCACCCTCTCAAACGGCGCCCGCGATTGACGCCGTTCGTTGTATCATCACATCACACCCCTCTCGCGCGCTCAAAATCGCGCTCGGCGCCGTGACCACCAACTGGTCCACCCCCGCGGTCGACGCCCGCCCGCCCGCGCGGACAGCCAGACGCTCGGCCCAAAAGCCGCCCGCGCCACTGTCGACCCGCACGGCATCGCGCGCGCGCGCGTCGCCCGCGCGGTCATGGATCCCTCGATGTTCACGCCCGAGATGATGGTGCGTCGCGCGCGCGAACGACGCGCGCGCGCGCGCGTTCGCACCACCGAACGCGTCGCCACGCGCGAGATCTCTCCTCGATCGTCGACTGACGCTCGACCGCTCGCATCGCTGGCGATGCGTTGAATCGCACGACGACGCAGGCGCAGGCGCAGCGCATGATGGCGAACATGACGCCGGAACAGATGGAACAGATGCAGCGCATGGCGGGGTCGATGGGGATGGCCATGCCGCCGGGCGCGGCGGAAGCGATGAAGAACATGACGGCGGATGACATGCGGCGGGCGGCGAGCGAAATGGGAAACATGACGCCGGAACAGATGAAGGCGCAATACGAACAGGCGCAAGGGCAGGCGAAGGCGAGCGCGATGTATAAGTACGGCGCGAGTGAGAAGCTGAAGTCGGAGGGGAATAAGCTCGTGGGAGAGGGGAAGCACGCGGAGGCGATTGAGAAGTACGCGCGAGTGAAGGCTAACCTTTCGGAGGACGGAAGCGCGGAGGCGAAGACGCTGCGAGTGTCGTGTCTGTTGAACTCGGCTCTGTGCTTTAACAAGATCGGAAAGCACGGTGATGCGATTTCGGAGTGCGCCGCGGCGCTGGAGCTCGAACCGAGGAGTCTCAAGGCGTACTATCGACGCGGACAGGCGCTCGTGGCGATGGGCGACCTCGAGCGCGGCGTCGAGGATTTGATGCGTGCGAATAAGCTCAGTCCCGGGGACGAAACCGTGAAGGCTGAGCTTGATGCGTGCGTTAAAAACATGGAATCGAAAGACATGGCCGTCCCGGCGGCGTGTCCACCGTTTGATCATCCGCAAGCGGCGCCAGTCGCGAGTAGCAGCGGAGCGTCGGCCGCCGTGCCGGGCATGCCGAACATCACCCCTGATATGCAAGCGCAGATGGAGGCGATGATGAACGACCCTAACGCAATGGAACAAGTGACTTCCATGCTCGGAGGTATGTCGGAGGAACAACTTGCTGCCATGGCGGCTTCGAATCCGATGATGGCAGGCATGGACACAGAAGCGCTTAAGAAGGCAACGGGCATGATGAAGAACATGAAGCCCGAGACCATGAAAGCTATGATGAAGATGGCGAAGGGCATGGGCATGGACGGTCAAGGTGGCGGTGGAATGGACCCCAACGACCCCAACTTCATGGCCAAGATGCAAGAAGGGCTGAACAACCCAGAGATGCGAGAAGCCATGGTAGACATGATGCAGAGCATGGACGCCGAGTCGATCAAGGAAATGTCTCAGAGCATGGGCATGTCCATGGACGACGCGCAAGCGGAGCAGGCTGCGAACGCTCTCAAGAACATCTCGCCCAAGACGATGGATCGAATGCTTACCATGGCGTCGTTCGCCGGTGGTATGTACAGTCGCTTCAAGCGCCCGATCGACTGGGCTCTTCGCAACAAGCGAACGGCGATGAGCATGTTCGTCGTCTTGACTGCGGTCGGAACGACGTATGTACTCAGATGGTGGCGCCGACGTGGTGGGGACGTTGACGCCGTTAATGCGACGGAACTGCTCGGTGGTGGCTCGACGTTTTAATCAGAAACTATGTCTCGCATACCAGTACACATTACACGACGAAAAAATTTACTTCAATTGCTCGCGTGAACGATTACTTCGCGCGCGCTGTCATGAGTGAAATCCGAGTTTCGGAATGTAGAGCTACCGTAGAACGGCGCTAGGTCTGTGATTCCGTACTCTCGCGCCTTGCTCTCGAGGTCTCGACACCTGATTGTTGCGGTTTGATTCACGGCGTCGGCTTGACTGTTCGATCTCGCCGCACTGAGGTTCGCCCAGCGCAAAGTCTCGCGAAGCAAGCCCCGAAGGATCTCCATGAGCAGCGCGTTGTAGTCACGATGCGCGTGCGTGTATCGCGCAAACTTCTTCTGCAACATCTTTTGAACCGATTGTTTCTGTGTTCCGATGAAGGATTGCAGCATGCACCCGATCGCGGCATCGATGTCTTCCGACGACACCTGTTGGCTCAACCGCATCGACGCGCGCGCCTCGCTCATACGGATGATTGATTCAAGGTGACGAACGGCGACCGGCATGCCCTCGCGCGTCACGGACTCCTTGCGGAGTTCGGCGTAGACGCGTTGAATTTTTGGAAGATCTTGTGTGTTGATTTTGGGACGAATCTCTTTCTTCGCGTAGGAAATGTACTTCTTCAGTAGATTTTGATCGATCGACTCAATGCCGTCGTCCTCGGTTTCGTGCGCCGGCTCCGCCTCATGCGCCATGCTTTTTGAGTGCGGATGATGTTTTACGTGTGAGTTGACGACAAATGTGGCCAGTCGCCGATCGTGCTCGGGATCGATAAGATCACGGATGACGCAAAGAACGTCGAAACGGGACAGAATTGGATCTGTCAATTCAACGTTGTCGCTGAAAGTCTTCGTGGAGTCGTATCTACCACCGATCGGGTTCGCAGCTGCGATCACGGAACAGCGCGCCTGAAGAGAGGTAACGATACCAGCCTTTGAGATGGAGATTTGTTGCTGTTCCATGGCTTCGTGAATCGACACGCGATCTTGATCGTTCATCTTGTCGAACTCATCGATGAGACACACACCGCGATCCGCGAGCACGAGCGCGCCTCCCTCCAAAACGAACTCACGCGTCACCGGATCCTTGTGAACGGCGGCTGTTAAACCAACAGCGGATGCACCCTTACCTGTGGTGTACACTGCGCGACTCGCGGTCGCCTGAGTGTACTTGAGAAATTGAGACTTCGCGACACCAGGATCGCCGAGTAACAACATGTTAATGTCGCCACGCAGACGAGTCTTTCCCTTGACGAATTTTTCCTGTCCACCAAACAAAGCCAAAGCGAGGCCCATCTTGATATCTTCGTGGCCGTGAATCGCCGGTGCGATCGATTTGACGATGCGTCGAACGATTTGCGGATCTCGACTCAATTTGCGAATGTCTTCGCGATCCTCGTCGGTGAGATTATCCGATGAGAACAAGTCTCCCTTTCGCTTGATGTAGTTTGCTTCTATGAACGTTGTGAATACTGGGAAGCCTTGCTGGCGAGTGTTGAGCGACGCCTCAAAATTGTTCGTGTACACCCCCGTGACTTCGACCTCGTCGCCCGGTTTGGCGAGATCAATCAAATCGTTGAGCACAATGATTTCCTTGCTACGAGGAATGCGACCCGGCGGCACGCTACCGGGAGACTCCTGCAACGTGAGCTTTTGGTAATTTCTGTAAACCGTCTTCGCCGAGTTGACCTGCCACCGACCCTTTTGTTGGCACTCCGGACACGCATTCGGGCGCTCCTCCTCTCTGCTACTATTCTGGAATATCGGACCGATGTTGTACGAGCACGTCATGCACGTGTACGTCACGTTCTTCAACTGTGGAAATACACCCGTGCGGCGAGTGATGACGCCGCTGACGCGAATGAGCATGTTTAAGTGCACTTGGCGAATGTCTCGGATCGCGTCTTCTAACGGGAGTTCCACGATTCGCACGAAGACGTCCTGGTGGATGTCGCCGTACGACGGGTAGAGCTTGAGCACCTCCGTGAGCGCAACCTCGTCAAAAATGTCCAACATGTCCTTCGGTGCGTCCGCGAGCCAACTCGCGATAAGCGGTTCGACCGTCCCCAGATGCATGTAGCTCACCTCCAGACTCTGACGGTTGTTGTTGCACATCTCGCGAATCTTCTTATGATAGAGCGATCGCCCTTGCTCGTCCACCTGTCCTTTGCGCAAGAATCGACTCAGCCGCTTGCGAATTTCAACCTTGGTACGATCCTTCGTGATCCACTCTCGAAGAGGGCAATCGTACGCCTCGATGTTCATTTCGTACTCCTCACCATCGTCGTCCATCTCCCCATCCGCCGCGCGGTCCGCCGCCCGTCTGCGTCTCGCCTGCCGCAACCACTCATCCTCGCCCTCATCCAAAGCCCGCGGACGAACTCGACCGTGCACTCGCGTACCGCGCTGTTCGTACTCATCCCGCCGCTCCATCTCCGCTTCCGCGCGCACGCGCGCCTCGAGCTCGGCCTCCGCGTCGAAATCCTCATCCTCATCCGCCAAGCCGTGGCGCTCGTATTGATCGAGATGCGGCATGACTTGATAATCCCTACGTCCACGTCGACACCGCGCGCGACATCACATCGTCAGTCACACGCGCACGTCACCCACGTCCGCGTCCGCGTCCGCACGCGCGCGCGATCGACATCGCCCACCGCGTCTTTCGCGCGTCGCCTCGGCTGTCGCGCGCCGTTTTCAAACCGCAACCGTCCCGACGCCATCCGCACCCTCTCCACCCTCGCGTTCAACACCTCCATCGCGACGCGCCGTCGACGCGCGCACGCACCGCTCCATGTCATTCATCAGATCCTCTCCCTCGCTCTCGTCGTCGTCGTCGCCATCGCTCGCGTCGAATTCGCCGTCATCGAAATCATCATCCCCACCCAACCGCGCCGCGCCGTCGAGATCGCGACCCGCGACGCCGTCGTCGTCGCCGTCGAAGGCATCGCGCGCGTCGTCGTACGCGCCGTCGTCCGACATCGCGTCGGCGTCGCGCTATTCCCGTGGGCGTCGCCGCGCGGCGTGATGTGGCCCACGGAGGGACTCCACGTCGAGTCACGACTCGTCGTTTTTGAATTCTGCATGCATCCAGCGCGACGTCGTCCCCATCGCGTCGCGCGTCGACGCCCGATCGACCGAAGCGCCGCGCGCGCGCGCGTCGTCCATCGCGCGCGCGTCTCGACGTCCACGACGCGCGCGCGCGCGCGTCGGCGGCGCTGTCGACCCATCGCGCAAATCGCGCAAATCGCGCCCATCGCCCGTCGTCGATCGCGGCATGGAGGCCAAACGCGTCGTCTTCGTCTCGCTGAAACCGGCGAGTGGGCGCGCCGAGGGCGCGTCGTCGCGATCGACGCGGAAGCGGGCGTTGGGGATCGAGGCGAACGCGACGTGGGAGGATTTCGAACGCGCGGTGATGGAGCGATTGCGCGTCGCGGGCGTGCGGGCGGTGTATCACGCGTCCACGGGTGAGCGCGTGCGAGGGGTGGAGGACGTCAGGGACATTGAAGATTTGATCGTGGAGGAGGATGAGGGGGCGCGGATGATCCCGGAGGGTGGGGTCTCGCCGAGTCCGTCGCGGACGGCGCACGGAAGCCGAAACGCGAGCGCGAGCGCGCGGACGGAGACGGAGGACGACGACGGGAAGAATAAACCGAGAAGAATGTCGGTGATGCTGGCGAATGTTATTCCGGGATTGAGCGGCGCCGTGGGGGGGGAGGCGATGCGAAAGTTGGACAGCGCCCTGGACGCGGCGGAGCGCGGCGGAGACGACGACTCGGAGCGCAAGACGCGGTCGAGGTTCTTCAATCGCTCGGGGGGGCGAGGGAAGACGTCGAAGCGTAAGAGACGACTGAGTTACCGTCGCTTGGGGCTGCTCATCGCCGGCGTACTCGCGCTCGCGCTTTGGTTCACGCTCGGGAGGAATCGCGACGACGCGTTCGGCGTTCGGTAATCCGCGTGTAACGTCGAAACCACACTCCGCGCCGCCGCGCAACCATTCGCTCCGCCGCGCGCGCCGCGCGACGTCGCGCGCGCGCGATGTCGCTCGCGTTCGAGCGCGCGCGCGCGACGTCGACGAGCGCGTCGCTCGCTCGAACGCCGAGAAACGCTCGACACGCAAACGCGTCGTCTCGGCGCTTCTCTCGCGCGCGAGCGTCCGCGAGCGACGACGCCGAGGCGTGGGAAAAGTTCTACGCCGCGCACAGTCGCAACGGCGCGTCCGCGGACGTGCGCTTCTTCAAGGATCGACACTACCTGCGAAGGGCGTTCGGGGAGCTGGTGGACGCGGACGCGCGCGCGCATCCGGAGACGTTTCGCGCGGCGTTGGACCCGAAAACGCTTGGAGACGTGGACGAGAGCGACGTCGTGGACGTGTTGGAGCTCGGGTGCGGGGTCGGGAACTCGGTGTATCCGTTAATTCGAGCGAATTTGAACATGCGCGTGACGGCGGTGGACTGCTCGCCGACGGCGGTCGCGACGCTTGAGAAGAGTCCGGAGTTCGACCCGAGGCGCGTTCGCGCGCTCGTCGTGGACGCGAGCGAAGCGAATTCGATGGTGGGACGCGTGGACGACGCGTCGATGGACGCCGTGACGGCTGTGTTTTTCTTATCGGCGCTCACGGCGAGCGGAATGCGAAACGTCGCCGAGGAAGTTCGCCGCGTCTTGCGACCGAACGGCGTGCTTCTGTTCAGAGATTACGCTCGAGGAGATGTGAAGAACGCTGGTGACTCCTCGCAGTTTGTCCCGGGTCTGCGCGTCGATTCCGCGACGGAAAGCGACCAGATGTATCGTCGTGGCGATGGTACTCTTGCCGTGTTCTTCGAACCGAGCGAACTCAATGAGGTGTTCGTATCGGTGGGATTAGTTGGCGCGTGCGAGATCGTCTCGCACACTGTGACGAATCGTAAACTCGGAGTGACCATGGAGCGCAGATTCGTTCAAGGTAGATTCGTGAAGCCCGCTTGATAGCCATCGTTATAGGAGACAATTCGTTTGTCGCGCATTACAATAGAAGTTTAGCCAGTCTAATCACGCCGCGGTCGTCGCAGTCGCGACTGCCGCTTCGCCTGGAGCCGGCGCAATGATGTTCCTACTCTCGTGGAAGTACTGGTGCGGGGTATGGACGCCAGCTTCGATCTCTTTGCCGTCGTGAAGCGCGGCAAACGTCATCCCGCACGCGATTTGATAGTGCATGCCCTTCGCCTTATCGACAATTTTTATCGAAGCGTCCTCAGGAATTTTCATCGATTTTGTCAAAAGTTCGTGCAGCGCTTCGCCGTTCTTGTTCCCTCCGCTCGTCATCGTCCGGAATGGGCATCCATGGCTGTCCTTCTCACCGGGCGTGGCGTTAATGCACTGGCCGCACGAGTGCGGCGTGTAGTTGACGCGCTTGCCCTCTCGACCGTACGCGTGCCTGATGCCGTACGAGTAGTCCTTCTCGAACTTTTCGGCCGAACAATCTGGGCTCTTCGTGAATTCTGTCTTCCAAAATACGAGTGCCTGGTCCAGGGGAAGACCGATGCCTTTGAGGTACAACTGGTACTGACGACGACCGCCGTGCGTCAGGTGATGCTTCTTCTTGAGTGCATTGTGGAGCTGACGCATGCAGAGCGGGAACGAATCTTGCGTTTGCTCGATGCCCGAGATGGACATCGTTCCCTCGCCCTCGTACGCCCTTCGTCCCTCGTACGCCCTACCCGAACGCTTGTTGTGCACCGCTCTCAGGAGCGGCGCGAGCCTATTTGCCTCCGCCACCTCAAACTGCTTGAACAATTCCTTCGCCTTCTTCATACCCAGGCTCAGTCTGGTTCGGAACCTGCCAAAAACAAGTTGATCGAGCGTCTCCTTTCGAATCCAAGCTCGTCCGCCGATGAGATACGCCCGTCGCGTGCGCACGAGCGGGCTCACTTCTTCGAAACCGACGACAAACCAATTCTTCGCGTTTCGCGCCTCCTCCGCGCACTTGCGCTCGAACTCACCGAGCTTCAAGTTATTCACGCTCGCATCCTTGAGCGCCTTTCTAAACTCGAAATCCGCCATCAAGACGTCCCGTAACTCATTCTTGTGCTCTTGAACGTCCCGCTCGCTCGCCGCGCCGTAGTCGTCGAACCCATTCGTCTTCATGAAGCTCTCCTTCCCCGACTCGCTCAGCTCACCGAACCGATACTTGAACAGCTCCAACTCGTTCTCTACGAACCACCTCTCGTGCTCCTCTTTCAAACTCGACGCCAGACGCAACAGAAAGTGTCCGGTGGCGTCTCTCGACGCGTTCTCTTCATCAAACTCCCCTCGCCCGTTCGTCCGCCGCATCTCTCGTCGTTCCTCTTCCTCTCGAATCACCTTTTTCAACTCTTCATCCTTCTTCCCACCGCTTCGCGCGTCGTCGATCGCGCGCAACAGCGCGTATCGGTCGCTCGCGCATCGCTCCAAATAATCGATCGACCGTTCCTCCGTCGGCGGCGTCGCGTACGCGTCCAACCGCGCCGCGTTCCCGGTGTACTTCGATCGCGCGCGCTCCTGCGCCACCGCGTTCGCGCTCTTCAGGACCCCGAACGCGCTCGGCATCGCGGCGCGTCGTCGTCGCGCGCGCGCGGCGAAAGCTGTCGGTTTTCAAAAATTTAAACACACCTTGAACGTTTATCTCTCCAAACCCTACACATCGACCGCGTACGAAACGTCCACGTCGAGGTATGTACGGTCGTCGACGTGTCCCATAGTGTGCACGTTTTGATGGCGACACGAAAACGCCCGACGCGCGCGCGCGACGCCACGGACGCGCGCGCGCGAGCGACGGAACGGACGCGCGCGCGAGCGAGCGCGCGAAGGGCGAGACGATCGGCATGGCGCACGCGCTCGCGAGCGAGATCGCGCTCGACGCGGACGAGGGACGACACGGGGAGTACGACCTCGCGGGATTCGGGAAAGATTGGGTCGACGCCGTGTGCGCCGCGACGTTCGCCGACGCGCTTCGATCGAAGCGAGGATTCTATCCGTCGTGTAAATTCGTGATCGGGGGTGGGAAGAAGACGCGGGCGAAGTACGATGAGGAGTTGTTGAAACACTTGACGTCGGCGCTGCGCGCGCTGGGGTTCGAGGACGACCGAGGCGCGAGCGCGTGCGCGGAGTGTCAAGGGACGTATAAATATCAACACGATACGGATAAGGATTTGAAATATTTACACGTGTTTCCTCGGGCGACGCACGAGGTGGAGGGTGGGGAGGGGGAAGAGGCGAACGCGACGAAGTCGCCCGAGTATCGCGCGTGCACGTGCGACTTGGACGAGTTTGAGGGGTTGGTGAGCATGTACACGCCGTCGTTTTCGCAACAGCGGGCGCTTTTGCGACGGATGAAGGTGATGGAACACGCTTTGAGCGCGTTGGAGCAGAAGGTCATCGCGATGGAGACGCTGAGCGATCGAGAACAGACGATGTACGATTCGATGATCGACGTCGCGGCGAAAATTGAACACCTCCAAAAGTCGCTCGACGACATGATCAAAAAGGGTCGATTGACAAAAGGCGAGCAAGGTGAGATCGTGGAAGATCTACAGCTCAAGCTTGAGGACATGGATCTCATGATCAAGGAGGCGCGCGACGAAGGCAAGTCAAAGAAGGTGGAAATGCTCGAACAGAAGAAGGATTTGGCACAAAAGAAAATCGACTCGGTTCTCGCCAAGCCGCCCATCGTGTACACGGTTCCGCACGAACGCGAACTCGCCGACTTGAAGAAGGAGCTCAATTCTCTGAAGAAAATAGTCTCCGAGTCCAAGGGTAAGCTCATGAGCGGCTCAGACGCCGCAAAGTGCGCAAAAATCCCGGCGCTCGAGGAGAGAATCCACAATATTGAAAACTCGGAAGAAAAGGGTTGGTTCGAGGACGAGTGCAGAGCGCTGCTGTTCCCCGTCGTGGAGAAGAAGCCTGCAAAGTCCGCATCGAAGGGCACCGGCGCGGGCGCGAAGTCAAACTCGGGATGGCTAACCAAGGCGTCGACTGGCGGCTCGCGACCGAAGGCGAAAGCAGCCGCGCCGAAAGCCTCCAACCCGTTCGCCATGCTCGGCGACGATTAAGTTACTCTTACTAGACGAACGTGTAAATCACAATATTCCGATTCTTTTACTTGTTTGCTTGCTTGCGCGATGCGTAAAAATACATTGCTAATTTTGATGCTTGGGAGGTCGAAACGGGAGCGGTTCGACGTTCCAGATTTTTGCCGCGTACTCACGAATGGTTCGATCGGATGAAAACATCCACATCGAGCACGCGGATTCGATGCACTTTGCCGTCCACTTTTCTTCTAATTGAAACTGCGCGTCCGCTTCGTCCATCGCTCGCAAGTACGACGGGAAGTCTTGCGCGGTGAGATAAACATCCTTGTGCGGATCGATGGCGTCGAGAAGTTGGTGATACTCGCCATCCTTCGGCTTACCAAACACGCCGGATCGAATCATTTGCGTCGCCCTTTGCAGTCTCGGATCGATCTTTGGTGGGTGGTGAGACATCGTTCTACGAATCGCTGCGACTTCGCTCGCCTTGGCGCCGAACGTGAACATGTTGTGCTCGCCGATGGCTTGCGCGATTTCGATGTTCGCCCCGTCCATGGTGCCAACGATCAAACCGCCGTTCATAACAAATTTCATGTTCCCAGTGCCGCTCGCCTCCAGTCCCGCAGTAGAAATGTGCTGCGAAACATCGCTCGCGGGAATGAGAAGCTCGGCGAGGGATACATTGAAATTCGGGATGAATATCACCTTGAGCAAGTCGCGACACGCTGCGTCGGCATTGACGACTTCGGACACGGCGCAAACGAGCATGATGAGATTCTTCGCCATGACGTAACCGGGTGCGGCCTTGCCAGCCATTATGCACACTCTTGGAACCATCTGATTGCGCTGCTCCGGCGTCGCCTGTGTGATTTCTGCGTAGCGATGGACGATGCCGAGAACGTTCAGGAGCTGTCGCTTGTACTCGTGAATGCGCTTCACCTGCATGTCGAACAGCGCATTTGGATTGACTTGAATGCCCATGGTCTTGTACAGCCAATCGACGACCGCGTTCTTGTTTGTCTGCTTCGCGGCGCGCCATCGCTGTCTAAATAGCGCGTCCTGCGCCATCGTCTTAATTGGCTCGAGCCGTTTGAGATCGTTCACCCAGCCCGGGCCGACCATGCCGGTGTAAATGCTCGAAAGTGCCGGGTTTGCTTGCAACAACCATCTCCTCGGCGTCACGCCGTTCGTGACGTTGATGAACTTTTCTGGCCACATCAACAAGAAATCGGGGAAAAGCGTGGACTTGAGCAGCTTGGTGTGAATCATCGCGACCCCGTTCACGGTGTGCGATCCAATGACGGCCAAGTTGGACATGCGCACCATCTTCGGTGTAGACTCCTCGATAATACTCATCGCCGATAGACGAGTGTCATCGTTTGGCCACAGTTTCTGAACCTCGAGCAAGAAACGATGATTGATCTCGTAGATGATTTGCATGTGTCTCGGCAGGAGCTCGGTGATCATAGGCACAGACCATTTCTCCATTGCCTCTGGGAGAATGGTGTGATTTGTATACGCGAACACGTTGCGAGAAATCTCCCAAGCCTCCTCCCATGACAAGTACTCGACGTCGAGGAGTAGACGCATGAGCTCGGGAATTGCGATCGCTGGGTGCGTGTCGTTGAGTTGAATCGCCACTTTTTTAGGCATATCTTGGATCTTTGTCGTAGCCGTACGTCCGACGCTCTTCTTGAACCTGCGGAATATATCCTGCAGTGTAGCGCTCACGAAAAAGTACTGCTGTTTCAGACGCAGTCGTTTACCCTCATCCGTCGCGTCGTTTGGATAAAGCACGGACGTGATGCTCTCGCAGCGCTCTTTCGCCTCGACCGCGCCGTAATAATTACCCGCGTTAAACGACGCCAAATCAAACTCGTGGGACGGCTTGCTGCTCCAAAGTCGCATATTGTTCGTGTTGTAAGTGCCGTAACCGGGAATCGGCGTGTCATACGCCTGTGCCATGACGACCTCGCCGCCCTGCCAAGCGTAGCGCGTGTTTCCTTCCTGGTCCTTAAATTCCCGCACGTGTCCAAATAAGCGGACGGGATACTGCACGTCTAGGCGCTCCACCTCCCACGGATTCCCATCCGTGAGCCAATAATCGGGAAATTCGACTTGCTGACCATTCAATATTCGTTGCTCAAACATTCCGTACTTGTATCGAATCCCGTAGCCCCATGCTGGGTAGTTTTGCGTCGCGAGCGTGTCCAAGAAACAAGACGCCAACCGTCCCAACCCGCCGTTCCCAAGCGCTGGTTCCTTCTCCTCTGACATGATGTCCTCAAGATTATAACCAATCTGGCGTAGAGCCTCGGCGTAGGCGCCTCGTAAACCGAGATTCGACACCGCGTTCCCAAGCGATCTTCCGATGAGGAATTCGAGCGAGAGATAGTACACCTTCTTCGCCCCCACTTTCGCCGAGTACTGCTGCGTGTCGGTCCATCGCTCGATGAGACGGTCTCGAACGGAGTGCGCGGTGGCCTGATAAAACGTGTTATCGTCGAGTTTGTATCGTCTTCTCGCCAGCGTGTACTCCACGTGTCGTACTAGCGAGCGCTGTAAGCTCCCGACGTCGTTCGGGAGGTATGTGCTCGACAACTTCCACAAGAGCTCCTTGTGCGCCAGATGATCCGCCCCCATCTCGGCGTCGTCGACATACTGCCTCGGTCGATCCAGAACCGTCGTCGTTGACTGTGCGAACGGCGATCCGATCCTATCCATTCGATCGCTGTCGATGTCCACGCTTCGCGAATCTAACGCGCTCGCAGATCCCTGCGATCCGTTCCTCGTGTGCACGTACAACGCCCCCTGCAGCGTCCGCTCTCGCGTCGCACTCGCCCTCGCGTCCGGCGACGCCGACCGATTCATGCGCTGATGCGCGGTCTCGTGATACCCTCGAATTCTTCGATCGACCCTGACGATCACCGGCATGGCCTCGTTCTCATCTCTCGGACTCCCATGACTCCTCGCGTACGCTCTCGCGCGCAACCGACTCATCGCGCTCGTCGGCGGCGACGTCGGGCTCACCGACGCGCTCTCCGATCCCGCAGGCACGACCGTTCGCATGTTTGCCCGCATCGTCTGCTCCAACCACGCATCAACGCGCGGTTCGGGCGATCGCGAGTCGACTTGCAATCGCTGCGCGTGCGGTTGTCGTATCGCCAACCGCCTCCGCGCGCCGTCGTCGCCCGATTCGCCGCGCGTCTCAAAATCATCACCTTCTCCGACGCCATCCCCCCCCCAGCGCCCGTCGTCGTCATCGCTCGACGCATCGGCGCTCTCGGAGCGCTCTCGATCGCGTCCGCGTCCGCGTAACGCCAAGAGCGTCTCGCGCCCACCGTCATCGCGGTTGCGTGGATTATTTAGAATTCGTCTGTTCGTCTGCTCCGCGCGCCCGAACGCGTCGTCCCAGAACGATTTCGCGTTCGCCGTGCGCGGGCGGTCGTCGGAGGACACCGACGCGGCGTCTTCGTCCGGCATCGAGCGCGTCTCGGGCGCGCCGCGCGGTGACGATGGAGTTGAATGAGTGCCTCGTGAACATTCGACAGAAAACGACGCGGTACCATGGGCGCCAGGCCGACGTTCGTGGCCGTGGCGAATCGTGAGAACACACTCAAGTTTATGCGTCGATCGGGATCGTCCGTGGTGGAAGACGACGGGTGCGCACGACGCGCGAGTGATTTTGTGCGCGATGTGCTCGCTGGAAGAATCTTTGACAACTGACGCCGACGCGCATTGACGACGCACAGGGCCACGCTGCGGCGCGCACACGCGGCTTTAGACGCGATCGACGCCGCCGTCGCGCGCGGCTGCGGATCGGGAGGCGCGTCGACGACGAGGTACTTGGGAGAGTGTCATAAGACGCACGAGACGACGACGCTCGGGTACGCGAACGCCACGGGGACGAAAATCGCTTTGGAGTACGAGGGAGACGTGAGGGTGGAGGATGCGGTCGAGACATTTGATGCGATCGCGGAGGCGTACGCGCGGGCGGCGAGTGGGGCGTTCGCGGACGTCGGGGAACGGATCGACAGCGACGCGTTGCGGCGAGCGGTGGACGCTTTGTTGGCGTCCTGATGACGACTTTGTAGTGAGTGTACAGTTTAGCGACAAAATAATTAACTAGCGACGCGCTCATGAATCTTGCTTCTTCAGCAGTGGGAATGCGATGACGTCGCGAATCGACGGCGAGTTGGTGAGGAGCATGACGAGACGATCGATACCGAGACCCATGCCGGCAGTCGGTGGCATGCCGTACTCTAACGCGGTTAGGAAGTCCTCGTCCAGCTCAACGTCGTACGATTCGTCGTCCAGCTCCTTGAGCACGTCCTTGTCGCCCGCGGCGGCCTCGCGCTGGGCGGCGGATGTCTTGGCATGGGATTCGATTTGCTTCTCGAGACGTCCGCGCTGATCGATCGGATCGGTGAGCTCGCTGAACGAGTTTGCGAGTTCGCGACCGACGACGAAGAGCTCGAACCGCTCCGTCACACCCGGTTTATCCCGATGGGGCTTCGCCAAGGGCGAGATCTCCACCGGATGGTCGAGCACGAAGGTTGGTTGAATCAAGCCGCTCTCGCAAGTGGCTTCAAACATTTCGTTGAGCACGTGACCGACACTCACTGCCGTCTTCACGCCCTTAATCCCTTCGCCCGCCTTCTTGGAGTGTGCCTTGAGCGCTGGGATCGCAGCTGCCTTGGCACCGTCGAGGTCGTCGCCGAACGACATGACGTCCACTCCGGTCGCCTCCTTCACCAAGTCGTTCATCGGCGCGCGTCGCCACGGGCGCTTGCTCAAGTCAATCGTATGATCGCCGTACGGAATCGTCAGCGTCCCGCACGCTTTCATGGCGCACTGACAAATCATCTCTTCAGTGAGTTCGAGCATATCAGTGACGTCGGCGTACGCCTGGTACACCTCGATGGACGTGAACTCTGGGTTATGCCTGGTGGAGAGTCCTTCGTTGCGGAAAATGCGACCAATCTCGTACACGCGTTCGAACCCACCGACGACGAGGCGCTTGAGGTGGAGCTCGGTGGCGATGCGAAGCGTCAATTGCATCCCCAGCGCGTTGTGGAACGTGTTGAACGGCTTCGCGTCGGCGCCGCCTGCCGAGTCGTGTAACACCGGCGTCTCAAACTCCATAAATCCTTGGTCGTCGAGCATGCGACGGATGGTGGAGATGATGTTGGACCGAGCCTTGAACGTGCTTCGCACGTCCGGGGAAACAATCAGATCGACGTATCGCTGTCGATACCGCTTCTCAACGTCCTGTAAGCCGTGCCACTTATCAGGAAGCGGCAACAACGCCTTGGTGAGCATTTGCACCTTGGTCGGGACGATGGATAGCTCCCCCTTATCACTCCTCTTCACGCTCCCGTGCACACCGATGATGTCACCGACGTCCACCAACTCAGTGATCATCTCGAACGCCCCCGGACTCGTCTCATCTAATCGCTTCTTATCGCAAAACAGTTGCACGCTTCCGCGCTCGTCCACCAACGACAAAAACGCCAACTTCCCGAACGACCGCTTCGCCATCACCCGACCGCACACCGCCTCCGAGCTCCCCTCGACCTCCACGCCGTTCTCCAGCCTCTCGTGTTCTCTCTGAAGCGCATCGCAGTACTTCGTGCGATCGAACCGATAATCGAACCCCCGTTGGCCCAGCGCCGTCAACTGGTCCAACTTTCCCATCCGCAGCGCCTTCACCTCTTCCGGCGACGACGTCACCCCATTCCCTTGTTTTTTCCCACCAATCTTCCCACGCCCCTTCGCCTCGCTCGCGTCGTCGCGCGCCGTCGTCCGCGCTCGCACCGCGGTGGAGAACACGGACTTTTTCGACGTTTGTCGAGCGCACGGTGCGTGGAGCGCACAATTTCCACCGAGACGTCCGACGAACCCGTCCGTCGACGCCGCGCGCGCGCGGGCGACGCGGGGCACCCTGGCGCACGCGCGAGGGCACCGCGGGCGCGCGCGCGCGAGCTCGCGGGCGAGACGCATCGCGCAAGGTGGTCGAGGCGTCGGCGAATGCGCGTCGACCTCGGTCGTGAGGGTTTGGCGTCGCGTCGTTTTGTGTGGGCAAACAGTCATGGCTCGGACGTGTGACGAACACACGCGGCGCCGCCCGCGCGCGAGGTCGCCATCGCCCGCCGCGACGCCGCGACGCCGCGCGCGCGCGCGCGTCGATGGCGCTCGTCACGCTCTCCGTGTACGACATCAAGCACCCGGGAAACGAGGGGGTGACGAGCGCGGTGGCGTCGTTGAACGCGCTCACGCGGGACGGCTTGCGTCTGGGTGGCATCTTCCACGGCGGCGTCGAGGTCTACGGCGACGAGTGGTCGTTCGGATACATCGACCGAGGGACGGGGGTGTACAGGTGTCAACCGAAAAAGAACCCGATGTACGCGTACAGGGAGAGCGTGGCGCTGGGGGTGACGTCGCTGAGCCCGGCGCGCGTGAGCGCGGCGGTGGCGGCGTTAAAGGCGGCGTGGGACGGACCCTCGTACGATGCGCTCGGAAGGAATTGTAATCACTTTTGTGAGGCGCTGTGCGAGGCGCTGGGGTGCGAGGGACCGCCGAAGTGGTTGAACTCGTTCGCGAATAACGCGCGAGGGGTGCGGGACGCCGCGGTGAGCGCGCGAGAGGCGACGGAACGCGCGGTGGAGGGCGCGTGGGCGTGGATCGCGAGCGCGACGTCGCAGTCGACGAGTAGTGTATCCACCGTGCGCACCGCGGGGGAGGGCGCGGAGGAGGGAGCGCGCGAGAGAGAGTTTGATTCAGAGGCGACGAGCGCGACGGACGACGCGCCGCACGGCGACGCGGGACGAGAGACGCGGTGACGACCGCGCGCGTCGAGGACGCGCGTAGCTTAGATTTCGCGAACGACGACGTCGCGCGCGCGTCGTCGTCGCTCGTGAGCGCCTTGTGTATGAACATTTCCGGGTACCGGCGAACGCGTCACTCGGCGACTCTCCGCGCGTCATGCCCATCGCGCGCGCGTCATCGCGCCTCGTCCACGCCCGTCGAGACGCCGGCGCTCGAACGCGTGATGCGTCGCGACGCGTTCGACGAACGCGACGCGCGACGCCGTCTCGAGACGAAGGGTCGTCCATCGAAGAGCTCGTGGATAATCCATCGCGAGATGCATCAAAGGACGCCGTGCCGAGCGTGAACAGCGCCGTGGGCGACGTGATTAGCTCACCGCTGTTCTACGTCACGTTTGGCGTCGCGGGTGGGGTGGGGTTGGTGCGAGCTTTGGGGGAGAACGCGAGCTTTTTGCTGAGCGCGGCGCCGATCGTCGCGCTCACGGCGATATCAAAGACGGATTTCGGCGCCGAGTTGATGGCGCGGATCGATCGCGAGCGGCCGGCGCTAGACGCGGAGAAGGCTAGAAAAGAGATGGAGCGCGCGGAAGCGCGAGGGCGAAGCGCGTTCTACGGCGCCAATAGGGTGAAATTTTTGGGGGATTTGGAGTACGAGTATCCTGCGCATTTGGACGGGACGCTATGCGGCGACGTGGGATTCGATCCGTTGAATCTGGCGGCGAAGAGCGAGGACTTGGAACGATACAGAGAATTAGAGCTCTTACACGGGCGTTGGGCGATGTTGGGTGTCGTCGGCGCGGCGGTCCCTGAGACGCTCGATCGGTTCGGCGTCGCCAACCTCGGCGAGCCCGTGTGGTGGAAGGTCGGCGCGGCGAAGATGAACAGCGACATCGCGCTGGATTATCTCGGTTTCAGTGGATTTCACATCGCGGGTGGTTCTGGGATCGCCGTCATTGCCGCTTGTCAGTTGGTATTGATGGGTGGTCCGGAGTACGCGAGATACGTCGGCATAAACTCCCTCGAGCCCGTCGGCGTGTATCTGCCTGGGGATAAAGACTATCCGGGCGGAGCGCCTTTCGACCCCTTCAAATTCTCAGACGACGCGGAGGAGTTTGAAAAGCAAAAAGTGATGGAGATCAAGCACTGCCGACTTGCGATGATAGCCGCGCTTGGATGCGCAATTCAAGCCATCGTCACTCGCCAAGGACCGATAGAAAATCTCGCCAGCGTGTTCGGGGTCAACTAGCGCATGTTCGCGTGTGTAATGAACGATTGATTTAATGTGGATTAAAATCAGCGCGTTAAGCGTGCTGCAACGACATCGGCTCGCCCGCGTCCGGAGCCAGCGGCTGGTCCATCGGCGGAGCTTCCGTTTTCGCCTGCTCCTCCATCTCCGTGACGAACGTCTCCTCCTTTTCGGCCTCCGTCTTCGCATCAACCTTTACGTCGTCGTACAGATCCATCTTGTTGAACATACCACCGAAGATTCTGGCATCCTTCTTGGCTTGACGAGCTTCCAGAGCCTTGAGACGATTCATCATGCGCTGCGCCTCGGCGTGAGCTTCGTCCACCTCCAAAATTTTCTTCAAGCAACGACGAGACTCATCGTACTCGTCCAACTCCATCGACGCCTGGGCGAGTCTATAGAGCGCCTTCTCATTACCCGATTCAAGCTCGAGCGCCTTCTCGCTGGACTTGCGAGCGCTCGACCAGGACTTGGTCTTGATTGCAACGGCGGCTGAGTTCAAGTTGAGGCTCAGCTTGAGCTTTTTGCTCACTTGCTTCTCCTCGTCGGAAAAGTTCGTGTCGTACTCGACGAACTTGAGCGCGGCGGCGTATTTCTTCGTCGCGCGAGCGAACTTGCTGTTCTTGTACGCGTCGTTACCGCTAGCCTTGTACTTCTCCGCGGCTTCAAGCTTTTCGGCGGCGTTCATCGCATACTGTTCCTTGGCGCGTTCCATCTTAGCCAGCGTCACCGTGTACTCCGTACCGTCGGCCATGGTGACGAGGGCCTTCTCTTTGAGCTTCATCATCATGATCGCACTCTCGAGTTCGTCCGAAATGTGCTCGTCGCCGATGACGACTTGGAGGGATTTGGTCTCCTCAACCTCGCCGCCCTTCGACGCGCGTTTCTCGTATTCGATCTCGCACTGCGCCCCGTCGTTCGGCTTCTCGTATCCCTCGCCGTCGACCAAAATCTTTTTCACCGCGCCATCGACGCCGGTGACGTCCTCGACGGTATGAATCACGTCGAGGGAAAAAGTCACCACGGCGCCGTCCGCGGACGCCGCGCCCGGCAAACCGGCGGCGTACTCAGACGTCATGGTCAATCGAACTTTTTCCCCAGCCTTCATCTTCTTTACCGCCACCTGCATCCCCTTACACGGCAACTGATCGATACCGCACGTCATGCTCTGCTCAGCCGCGATCTCACTCTCTCCATCGCGCGTCTTCACGTCGTACGTCACCGTCACCTCGTCCCGTCCCTTCGGCGTGGCGAACCCGGTCGCCGTCGTCACGTCCTCCTTCATCACCCCACCATCCTTACACAAATCTCGATGGGAATCAAACGACAACAATTCAACATCGAACACCAACGTCGCGTTCGCTGGGATCGTCGGCGGCGAGCCTCGATCACCGTACGCGTAATCCGCCCGACACTCAAATTTCGCCCGTTCGCCAATCTTCATCGTCGCCACGCCGACGTCCCAGGCGTTGATCACTTGATGCTTTCCGAGCGTGAACGTGAACGCATCGTCGCGGTCACGAGAGCTGTCGAACTTCGTGCCGTCGAGCAGGGTTCCGGTGTAGTGCACGCGGACCTCGTCGCCCGTCTCGGGCGTTCGAGCGTCGTCCGCGGCTGGAGTGATTATCGTCTTCAAGACGCCGCCGTCTTGCGTCGGGCTCACGTCCACGGGCGCGTGTTCGACCTCGGTCATGGCGTGCGCGTGTTCTCGCGTTCGGTGCGTCGATGCGCGCGCGGTGTCTCGCGCGGTGACGTCGGTGCGGTGCGATGTGACGATGTGAGATTTTTAACAATCGAAAGTTCTCGAAGTTTCCCGGGAAGAAAGGGCGGGGAAGACGGCGAGCGACGCGCGTCGATTACATCGATTGTTCGGGAGCGTCGTCGAGTTCGGCGTCGGTATCGGTATCGACGTCGACGTCGTTCGCGATGCTATCGAGTTCTTTCGCGCGCGCGACGAGGGCGTCTCGCATTTTATCGGCGTACCCGGGTTCGTTTACGTCGGCGGATTTGGCGATGTACGCCAAGACGTCGTCGATGGCGGATGCTTCTTCCATGTCCTTCACGCTCTTCGTCTTGCGCACGACGTCCGTGAACATCTCGTTGATGTCTCGTGAGATTGATGGGTCGTTCTTCATGGCGTTCACGAGATCTCGTCCCATCTTTTCCTTTTTGCGTTTCAGCGTCTTCGCGAGCGCGGCTTTCTGGGCTTTGCGAACCACGTCAGCCTTTGGCGGACCCTCGGAGCGTGGCGGCGCCGCGGCGTCGAGTGCGCTTGAAATGAAACGCGTCATGGCGTTGCGTTGCCACAAAATGTACAGGGAATCCGCGAGATAGCCGCCGACGATCGGGGCGAAGATGCTTCCGGTGGAGACAAAAGCGAGCGACTGCGAGACGAAGAACAGTCGACTGCGCGAACCTTCGAGGAAGTCCTTCACGCCCTTACCGCGAAGAATGTTCTCGAACGCTTGCGTCTCCGCCTTAGTCGGTGGTTTCGGCGATTTCTTCGACTCGCTCACATTTGATGACGGCTCCTTCTTCTTCGAGAAGACGCTCTTCACGCCGGCGAGCGGACCATCCTTGGCGCCGCCTCTCAACTCGTCCTCGCTCACCGGCACCAACTTTTGCTTCCCTGTCACCGGATTTCGCTCGACGCGGAACGCTTGCACGCGAGACTGCTTTTGCACCCTACGAACGCGCGCCTCGAGCACTAGGTACACGAGCACACACGCCAATGCCTTGGCTGGTGCTTCGACGTCGTACGGCTCGAATCCGTACTCCACGCCTCGATCCGCGAGCCACTTCGCCGAAAGGCCGAGAACCACCCCGCGCTCGAGCATCTCGTCCGCAACGCGCGCAGTGAATGCGACCGATAAGTCCATCCACGCCGGCATGGATTTACACGGATTCGACAGCGTCTCCTCTTGCTGATACCTCGAAAGCGGCTCGAAGAAATCACCCATGAACCCGCGTCCCAAGCCGTCGTCCTCTCTCGAGTTCGCCGCCTCCGCCTTCGACGTCCAATCTATACCCATCACCAACGCGTCTAAGCACACCGTCGGCGCCGCCAGGGCGAGTCCGATCGCCGCCGTCGTCGTCAAATCCACGCCGCCGTCGCTCGGCCACGCGCCCTCCGCCCCGCCCAGGTCGCCGAACGCGCTGTACGACGCCAGCCCCCCGATGACCACCGCCAGCGTCCCCTTCACCCCTCCCACCGCGACGAGCAGAGACAAAAACTCACGGAACATCTTCTTCTCATCGCGCTCCTCCGTCGACGTCGCGTCGTCGTCGTCGTTCGACCTCTCTCTCTCCGCCGCCGCCGCCCGCCCCGCCGCCGCCGCCTCGGTCCCTGTCTCCACCCCGCGCCCCCCCGCGCGACCCTCGTTCGCGGTCTCGGCCACCACCGCGTCGTTCTCGACGACGTCATCGACCGCGTCGTCGTCGTCCCGCGTCGACGCACCGAGGATGGCGTCCAGCGCGTCGACGGTTCGCATCCCTCTCGCGTCATCATCCGCCCGCTCCGTCGCGCCCACGGCGACGCGACGCCCGCGCGCCCGCGCGCGCGCGCGCGATACGTCCCGTCGACGACCGACGCGCGTCTCGGCGCGAACGACGCGCGCGCGCGCGCACGAGGCGCGAATCATGCGCGATGGGGCGTCACGGTGTGCGGCATACATCGCGCGATGAACGACACACTCGCGCGCGCCATGGACGCGGGCGCGCTCGGGGTGGACCCGAGTGCGTCGGGGACGTCGATGGGCGTCGTCGGGGGCGGCGCGGCGGCGTCGCGGACGTCCGAGGATGAAATGCGGAGGGATGCGGTGGGACGAAATGATGAAAGCGTCGAGCGATCGCCCGTGGGCCGGACGACGACGACGATGGACGCGACGGCGGACGGGAGGGTGGGGGCGTTTGGACACGAACGAACGACGTCGTCGATCGCGCACGCGCTCGAAGCGTTGGACGCGGACGCGGCGGTGGAGATGACGGTGGAGGCGTTCATGCGGGTGAATTTCCGCGACGGAGAGACGATGGATAGCGATAGCAACGCGGGAGCGTTAACGGCGGAGCTGGAGGAGGATGTGGGTGGGGTGGGTGATTCTTTGTACGCGGCGGACACGGATTTGGAGGAAGAGGAGGAAGTGGATCCGAGAGTGGGCGATGCGCTGAATGAATTGAACGAGTCGATGACAGAGTGTAACGCGATGGAGAACGAGCTACAGAGAGCGAGATGGGAGCGAACGCGGGCGCGGGAGACGGCGAAGGAGAGGTTAGATGCGGTGTCGAAAAAGTTGTCGAGTTCGGTGCGAACGGCGGTTCCGGTGTTTCACAAGCGCGCGTTGGCGCAGTTGTATCAGGTGCGAAGCATCGAGGCGTTGCGCGCGTACGAGGCGGCGCACGACGCCCACGAGCGCGCAAAACGGAGGAACGATGAGCTCGAGGTCGAACTCATGGCGAGTAGTGGGAAATTTAACGTCGAGCTCATGGAGGCGTGCGCGGAGGCGATGCGAGAGGTGGCGGATACCGCCGCGGTGAAGACGCGCGCGACGGAGGTGCACGAGCGCAACACGCGAAGAGCCGTCGAGGCCACCGCCGAGGCCGCCGGACTCGAGCGCGACCGCCACACCGCGGTGAAGCGAGCGTTACCCTTCTTCAACGCCAAGGCCACCGGGGAGCGCGAGTGCGCCGACGCGGACGATCGCGTGAGCGAACTCAAGCTCGCCGTGCGCCAAGCCAAGGCGCGTTACGACGCCGCTCTGCGCGCGCTCAACGAGATCTCCGAGGAAGTTCACGCCAGACGAGAGGCGCGAAAAGCCGCTCGTCACGGCGAATCCATCGACTACTCCGCCGAGCCGAAAGCGCCGTAGATCTGCGTTGACTTCTTTCGCGTGTAACCGTTCGCCGCTCCGCTCGATCCGCCGCGCGCCTAACCCTCAATTCGTCCGACGCGCATGCCGTCCCACACACGCGCGCGCGCGAATCACCCTCGCGCCCGTTCTTCGCGCGAAGGATGCGCGCCGCGCGCGCGACGCCCGCGCGCGTCGCCGCGAGCCGCACGACGCGCGCGAGGGACCACGGGACGCGTCGACAGTTTGGTCAAAACGTCGACGTCAACGCCTTCTCGCGCGTCCAACGCTTGCGCCCGAGCGCGTGGGCCGCGCTCGAGGTCACGGCGACGACGACCGTTTGTGCGGGCGCGTTGACGCGCGAGCGGGCGCCGCGGGACGGCGTGCGAGGGCGACGCGGGACGAAGACGGCGGCGACGCGGGCGACGGGCGAACGGAGGGACGGCTCGACGCGCGACGATGGTGCGACGTCGCCGACGACGGTGCAGGCGCTGATACGACGAGCTCGTGGACGACGATTGGCGCGTCTCGGACGGTTGGCTGGGGTGCTCGTGGCGAGCGCGATGGCGGCGGTGACGTTCGCGAGCCGCGCGGGCGCGACGGGGAAGGGTTTGGCGACGCTCGTGCCGAACGCGAGCGCGCTGGAACAGGTTTTGCCAATGTTGCTCACCGCGATGGGACTCTTAGTCGCTTCGGCGTTCTTTTCCATGGCGGAGACGTCGATCACGACGCTGTATCCGTGGAAGATTCGGGAGTTGGCGGATCAGGAGGAGTCGTCGGGCGGGGTGTTTCAGATTCTACGCAAGGATGTGAGTCGATTTTTGACGACGATTTTGATCGGAACGACGTTCTGTGACATTTTGGCCACCGCGCTCGTGACCGAGGCGGCGTTGGTAGTGTACGGCGATAACGCGACGACGGCGGTGACGGTTGGTTTAACCATCGTGACGCTTCTGTTCACGGAAATAGCGCCAAAGAGCGTCGCGGTTCAGCACGCGGTGGCGACGGCCAAGGTCATTGCGACGCCGGTGTACTGGCTCTCGCTCATCGTCTACCCGGTCGGACGAATATTTCAGTGGATCGTAAACGCTGGGTTCTCCCTGTTCGGCGTGGAGACCTCGGCAGAGCCATTCGTGAGTGAAGAGGAGTTGAAACTGGTTCTCGCCGGCGCGACGAAGAGTGGTGAGGTGGCGAGCTCGGAGAAGAACATGATTCAAAACGTGCTCGATCTCGAGGAGACGGTGGTGCGAGACGTCATGACGCCGCTCGTGCAGGTATGGGGCGTGTCCGTGAACGCCACTCTGTCTGAGTGCCGACAGCAGTGGCTCGTTCACAAGTATTCACGCATGCCCGTATACGACGACCGCGTGGACAACATCGTGGGCATGATTCGGGCGAATCGAATCATGCAAATCGCCATCGAGCGCATCAACGATCCGGAGCGTCACAAACCGCTCGAGGAGATCATTGTTTCGCAGGTGATGGTTGACGATCCATACTTCGTCCCGGAGAGCATGTCAGTGAGTAAACTTCTACGCGAGCTCATGTTCCGAAAGACGCACATGTGCGTCGTGGTGAACGAATTCGGCGGCGTCGTTGGGATCGCCACGCTCGAGGACTGCGTGGAAGAAATCGTCGGTGAGATTTATGACGAAGAGGATAACACCAAATCGGACGAGAAGGAAGAGGTCCGGGACGAGGAGCCGCTTATCACGGTGGTCCGTCCCGGCGAGTACCTTGTTGACACGAGCGTACCTCTGTGGAAACTTGCGGAGGAGCTCTCGCTGGAAATTCCCGAGTCACCTTTGTATGAAACCGTCGGCGGTTTCGTGTGCGATTTATTCGGCTCCATTCCAGAACAAGGCGCGACGATCACGAGGGTGTACGATTTCATCGAAGATGAGGATGCGAGTGACGACGAAGAGAGCGACGACGAGACGGACGGTCTCGAGATTGACGGCGAGCATACGCAGCGCATGATTATTTTAACGGTTACCGAAGCGGACACGAGAATGGTCAAGGAGATCAGAATCGATGTGCGTCGTTATAGAAAAGGGCAAGACGACGACAACGACGAAGAGTCGGCGTGGGCCGATTCAAAACCGATCGTTCCTCGCGCGTTGTAGACGGACCGGCCCGTTCGCGAGAAAGATCTCTGGCTGTTGTAAACAATTCTCGCAGGCCTTATTGTAAATCTTTGAGCCACGCCACCGCGTCCTTGAACATCGCCTCGCTTGTTGGGCGCTCAAGGAAGTGGTCGACGCCTTTCAGAGTCCATTGCTCGACCTTGACGTCTTCGGCGCATTTTTGGAATTTCCGCTTTCGTACGTCAACGTCCGGCTGAGAATTTCCTCCATCCACGGGCAGCGTGGATCGTTCCTGAGAGATGACGTTCGAGCACCCCATGGCGTCACCGAGGATCTCAAACGACTCATCAGAGGACGGAAACGCCACACCACGTGAGTTCACGCCACCGTCGATCGGCACCGTGAGATCATCCGTGCCATGAATCAACAGCACCGACGTCTTGTCGTCCGGCGTACATCGCGATGCGTTCTTGAAAGTTCCTGCAGAAAAGGTAGCGACGCCACGGAACGCGCCCGGACGTTCGCACGCCATACGATTCGCCATGAAACCTCCAGTGGCAATGCCAGCGATATAAATGCGATCTGAATCGACGTTGAATTGCTTCTTCGTCGCCTCGATAATCTCTTCAATGTAGTGTACGTCGTTATCGTCGGTGGCCCCAGATTCCGGGAACGCGACGGCGTCAGAGCCATCCCAGGCGCGGCACGCGAACTCTGGCGTTTCTCGCGCCATGATGCCCGTGATCCAACTGGCGAACAGACGGTCCTGAGAGTTCGGTGAACGTTCCGGCATGTTGCACAAGACACACTCGCGCGTCGTTCTAGGCGCCTGCGGTGCCACGTATATCCAGTCCTCCGCGAGCGCCGCCTCGCGAAGTCCTGTTTGCACGAGAACTTGCTGACGGCGTCTATCGACGCCGAGACGGTTTCGAACAGCAGGAACACGGCGCATACTGGTCAATTCCAATGCTTGTTGCGCGTCATCCGAAGCGCAGAACCCGTGTAGATATACCAGTAATGGTCGTGGAGTTGCACCGTCGTACGCGTCTGAGACGAGCGCTCGCACTGGAGTCTGCGAGTGAACCACGGCTGAAAAATCGCGCGAGACCGCGGTGACGCCGAGAGCGTTGAGAGTTAGAAAGACGATGGCAAGGGTTATCATCGTTCGAGCGGCGAGTGTCGATGTGAGACGTGGCCTGAACCTCGTTGTGTAAAAGACTCTCATCGTGAATGTGAACATTTGCTGTGGCTGCGTTAAAAATTCCTACAGGTAAACAATTAATCAGTCCCCGACTCCGGCGCCTCGTCGGGGTCCAAACAGTTTCCACACTGCGCCTCCTTCATCGTCGTACTCGCGGTGCACTGCCGGAAACACGGCGTCTTAAACGCCTCGTCCTCCCCCACCTCCTTCGGCTTCGCTCCGTACGTAAACTGACACTCGTACGTCTCGTAATTGGGTGTCATCGTCATCGCTAGACCGATGTCCTCCGTGAAAAACTTCTGCGTTGGATGTTTGCACACATTGGCGCACACAGCCGCGCACCCAGTCTCCTCCAACACGCGACACCTCTTCAACAAAACCCCTTGTTTGTACCCGGCCGGCGCGCGTTCGCCGTTCGGATCGAGCGCCGCCCACGCGCTCGTCGGAGCCTTCTCCCCATCCTCGTACGTCACGCCCTCCCCTCCGTCGTTCACCTCGGCGTCACCCACCAACCATCCCATCAACACTGGCGTCACCGCCGCCGCGTGCCGCGCTTTGAACCAATCCGGAAACAACCGCAAAATCGCCGCAAACGCGCCGAACGCCCACTTCGGCGCGAGCGTTTTCAAGATTCGCATCGCCCGCGCACGCGTCTCACGCGCCGACGTTGACGTGCGCACGAGGTCCAAACACGCCTCTCGCACACCGTTAAAATCACCGCCGACGTCCGTTCGCGTCTCTCGTGCGAGCGCGGCGGCGAAGAGTGAAATCGCAAAGTCATCCAGAAAAGTTTGTTTTCGCGTCGGTGTCGCCGTCTCCGGGCCCGCCCGCACGGTTCGAAGATCCCTGGACGGACCCTTGGAGGTCGCCCTGGCGGACGTGCTCGCGCGCGCACGCGTTCGTGCGCGCGCGAGGGCGGGGGTGTGCGCGCGCGCCGACATCGCGGTGCGCGCGCGAGTCGGCGAGTGACGAGCTTTGGGACGATGCGATGCGTCTCCGGTCTGATTACATAAGTGCTAGGCTACTCTATTTACAATTTAATTCGTCGGGCGTTTCGGTCACTTGCGGTCGTACGCCGATCGAGTGTTCTTGTTCCCGAGCGTGGCGTACGCCTTTTGGGCGAGATGGAAGCGCTCGGCGGCGCGGCGCTTGGCGCGTTCGTCGCCATCAACCTTATCTGGGTGCGTCTCCAGTGCGACCGTACGGAAAGCAGCCTTGATCTCTAACTCCGTAGCGAGTCCGAGTCGACCGTCGAGACGCAGAATCTTGTAAAAGCCGTGGACGTCGCGAGAGAAGCCCGGATGTCGACCAGAGGGCGCTCTATGCGCGTCCTCGTCTTCGTCAATGTCCCCGTATCGGCGCCTCTTCTCGGCCGCACGTCTCGCAGCGTCATCTTCGCGCGCTGCGCGTTCTTCCATCTCGTGTCTCAACTCTTGTCGCTCGCGGAATCGGAAAACCTGTCCTTCGAGGATGTTGTACGCCCACGCTCGGCGCTTTTCTCCGATCCATTGCGCCTTGTCCGTCTCCTTCCATCGTCTCCACTCAGCGTCGTCTCTGCTTCGCTGCACGCTCTCATCCATCCAACCAGCGCCACCAGACGCTCTATTCGCTCGAGAGCACGCTCGGTCTTCGTCTCGGATGCGTTCGCTGTCCACCTCGTCCTGTCGCAACTTTGGCACCTGTCGCACGACGACGCCGGCGCCCGAGACAGCGACAGCGGACGCCACGGCGCCCTGGGCGAGAATGATGAACGCACTATCGGGCATCAAGTACGCCGCACAGGCGGCCGGAATCGCAAACGCACCGAAAGCGAGTGCCCGCGCCTTGTTATCGCATATCAAATCTTCACTCACCACAACGCCCGTGACGCCGCACACGATTGCTTCGCGCGGCTGACAAATAATTTTATTCGTCTCGTCGTCGACAACCGATCCGTGCGCAAAGCTGACGTACCATACCGGGTGATACACCGCGTAAAGTTTCCTATTCAACGTCGCGAAATCGACGACGACGTCCGTCGCCGCGGTCGATCCGGGATGCTTCTCTGTCAACGTCTTCTTCGCCGCCTCTCGCACGTGGTCTCGCATTCGACCGGTAGCCAACGACAACGCCATGCTTCTGTGCATCTCAAACGGCTCAATCTCAACTCCGGTCGGCACTCGATCCCGAAACGTCTCATAAGACATCCCCTCGTCCAAGTTCACGCTCGCCCCGGGTCTCAAGACGTCCACGAGGTCCCGCCGACGAGCGAAACTCGCGCAAATCTGACTCGCCTCGTGCGCGACGCCGAACCGCTCCACCCTCGCCCCCGTCCCGCTCCGCACCCAATTCCCCTCTACACACACCGAGCCCACCGCATCAACCTCAGCGGAGACGTCGAACACCCAATACGGCGCGTACGCCGCTCTGTACGTCGCGTCGCGCGACCCGTCGACGCCTCGCACGTTTCGCGGCCGCGACGCCGACGCGCCCAGCCACCGCGCCATCGCCCTCCGCGCCGTCGACGCGTCCACCGCGAACGACGTTACGAGAACATCACGCGGCGACGCCGCGTTCGGCGCTCGCGCCGTCGCGTCCACGGTGCCGTCCACCGTCGTCGACGCCGACGCGACGCCGCCCGCGCGCGCCCATCGCGTCGCCCGCCTCGACGTCGACGTCACCATCTCGGACAAAGCGCGACCGCGCGCGCGGGCGAACATCGCGCGCGCCCGCGCTCGACGCGCGCCGACGACGCGCGCGCGGCACCGAGGGCCCGGCGCCCGTGGCGATGGGTCATCGTTCGTCGGCAAGCATCAATCGTCAATCGTCACCGCGCGACGCGCCGTGGACGCCATGTAAACCCTAGCGAGACATCGACACCGTCGCACACATCGTCCACGAACGCCCCATAACACGTGACGTCGCCCCGTCGAGGACGAAGCATAAAACGAGCACGCGTGAACCCTTATAAACCCTAGCGAGACATCGACACCGTCGCACACATCGTCCACGAACGCCCCATGATACGTGACGTCGCCCCGTCGAGGACGAAGCATAAAACGAGCACGCGTGCACCCATGTAAACCCTACCGAACCATCGACATGTCGCACACATCGTCCTCGAGTACCTCTGAACACGTGACGTCGCCCCGTCGAGGACGAAGCATAAAACGAGCACGCGTGAACCCTTATAAACCCTAGCGAGACATCGACACCGTCGCACACATCGTCCACGAACGCCCCATGATACGTGACGTCGCCCCGTCGAGGACGAAGCATAAAACGAGCACGCGTGCACCCATGTAAACCCTACCGAACCATCGACATGTCGCACACATCGTCCTCGAGTACCTCTGAACACGTGACGTCGCGCCGTAGAGAACGAAGCATAAAAACCAACGCGTCGGCGTCGCACATGGGGTCCGACGGCGCCAGAACCCACCGCGAGGCGATCGAGGGCGTGCCCATAATTCCACGCGTCCGCACCGCGCGTCGCCCGATTCGCGTCTCCGATCGACGCCGCCGTCGTCGTCGCGGAGGCGTCGTCTCGCGCGCGCGCGTTTTCGACGTCCACGCGCGCGGCGCGCACGGCGCGGCGAACGCGTACGGCGCGGCGAGGGGGGATTGATTCCGAACGGTCGAATTCATTCATCGTGGGCGATGACGCTCGGTGCGTGCGAGATCGCGCGCGACGCGGGCGGGCGAACGAGGTGAAGGGGTGGTGGCGCGTACAGGCGTGGGGTGGGGCGCTCGGGGTGGATGTGATCGCGGTGGACGTTGCGAATGATTTCGGCGCGCGCGCGGGCGTTTGAATTCGACGGCGGCGCGTCGATGGATTCGTGGACGCGCGCCGTGGTGGACGGATCGTTGTGGCGTTGGTGATGCGTGAATGATGTGTTTGTTCGTCGTCGTTCGTCGCGAACGAGGGAGATGCGCGTGGCTCGATGACTGACGGTCGCGGTACGTTTCGCGTCGCTCTAGCGCCGGCGTCTCCGCTGGAATCCGTCGGATGGTACCTCAGTCTTTACTGGCCGGCGATGCAAAAGGAGTTCAAGGGGATCGTGCAGAGGTACGATGCGGACTCTAGACACCACACGGTGCGATGGGACAACGCCCCGCGCGGGAGCGATGGCGTTACGGAGGTTGATTTGTCGGAGGGCGAGCTGACGTGGCTCAAACCTCCGGAGAAGGCGGGTGCGAAGAAGAGCGCGAAGTCATCGAGCAAATCTGACGTGAAGGTGAGTAAGCCCAAGATGACTAAAGTGTACGACGAGTCCGAGACGATGGAAGATTTGGAAGCCAGATTCACTGGAAAGACGACAAAGGCGGTGGCATTTCAAGTGCTGAAGAATAGCGGACCGCAGGGCATGTCGCTTCAAGAGATAGTGGATGAATCACAAAAACTCGGTCTCCGAGACTGGACGACGTGTAAGCAGCCGAAGACGACGATCAATGTGTGCGTGAGCCAGGATCCAGCCTTTGTGAAGATCGCGCCCGGTCGCGTGGGGCTGCGAGTGAACGGCGCGGAGGAGCCGAGCGGCGCATCTTACGCCGCGAAAGCCGCATCTAAGGCGAACGGTAACGCGATGAAGAAACGCGGTCGTCCGCCCAGGCATGATGGCAAGTCCAAAAAGGCTCCGCGCCATGAACCGCAGCACTGGGAGCGTAAGCCCCCGATCGACCTCGTGCTCGAAGTGACGAGTGACGATGGGAAATTTATTTCCAACTCTCCGATGGAAGTGCCGTTTAACATCACGATCAAGGCGTTGAAGAGGGCCATTTCGGCAAACACCAAAGGCGCACTCAAGCCGCAATACCAGCAAATTTTCCACGAATCTCGGAACATTGGAAACGACGAAGACGCCTTCCTGGTGCACGCAGTTCGGCCCAGCAAGTTTGAGCGTAGCCTTCACCTTAAGCTCGTCATCGGCGAGACGTAAAGTGGAAGTTACACTGTGCGCCGTTGCCGCGGCGAACAGCGAAGGGATCACATCTTCGCGCGCGCGCGGTAGTTTTGATTAACACACGCGACTCACGCGTACGATGAATGTAAACGAAATCAATGGTTTGAACGAATCTCCCACCGCTGATATTAAAAATGAGTTACGCTCACGCCGCGACGGCCATCATCCCGCGAAGGACGAGCTCGCGAAGCACCCACGTGGGTTTCATGTACTCGCGCCCGTCGTCGGTGGTGAACTTTGTATCCACGAGCTGCATCGCCCAGAGGTAGTGCACGGACTGGATGTCGTCCTCGCCGCCCTCAACGATTTTTCCCGATTTGTCGCGCACGCAGTTAATTTGCTGACAGCTAAACGTGAGCACGACCAAGGGTTCGTTCTCCATCATTCGAACCTCCATGAGCTCGACTTCGCTCAGGTCCAAGATTCGCGGATCGACAAACTGCCCCTCCGCCTTCCACAAATTCATCTGCCCCGACAAACGCTCGAGCATCTCTTTGGAGATGTTGGTCTCCTTGAGCGCATCGACGTCGCCCCTGAGGTACGCGCCCAAAACCTTCGGGATGTCTCTTCGCACCTCGGCGATGAAATCGTTCGTGTTGAACATCGGGTCGCGGCTCCGAATCAACCGATACGCCTCCGCTTGCTCGGTCTCGGTGAACATGGAGTCCTGCAAGTCTTGAATACGATGCACCATCGGTGAGTCGCTCGTCTCCCAGCGCTCGCGGATGTCCTCGGCTAGCTCCCCAGCCTTGGCGTACGCCGCCGTCTTCTTCACCCCCTCCAACTTGTCCATCACCACCGGAATCCCGAGCTTTTCCCGAACGCCTCTCCACAGCTTCCCAAACGCCGTCGGTTCCTTCTCCGGCGTCATCGCCACCGCCGTCGTCCCTTCGTACGGCTCGTACGCCGCGTCCTTATCGTACCCCATCGCCTTCCTACGCGCAGCCGCGGCGTCTCCCGGATCCATCATCGCCAGCCTGTACTCCTCCTTCACCGCGTCGACGACGATGGAGACCAATCCACTGGCGGTGTACCGCTTCCCACGCTCCCCTTCCCTTCCGGGGGCGCTCGACGACCCGACGCCGCGCCCGCCCGAAGCCTTCGCCCCCGTCTCGCGCCCCTTCGTCTCCGCCGTCGCCCCGCCCGCGCGCGCGCCGTCCGCGCGCGATCCATCCGCACCCGCGCGCGCGGTCTTTACCTCGCCCCTCGTCCGCGCGCGCGCCGCCGCCGTCGTCCGCCCCTCGGTCTCGTCCGCGCCTCGTCCCGAAGACCTCTCCGATGCCGTCGCCCGTTCGTCCACGTCCGCGCGGCTTCGCGCGTCCGTCCCGAGCGCGCGCGCGCGGTGAATTCCCTCGCGCGCGCGCTCGACCGCGCGCGCGATCGCGCACGTCGCCCGCGCGCGCATCACGATTTGTAAATCGTCGTCGACGGATTATGACGCGCACGCCATCGTCGCCGAATGCGATCGCGCGCGACGCCGAACGTCGGACGCCGACGCGCGCGCTCGACGGGGGTATTTTTCATCCATCCGATCGCGCGCGCGCGGGCGACGCGGCGGTCGCGCGGGCGTCGAAAGGCGGCGCGGTCGCGTGACTCGCGACCGCGACCGCGCATCGCGCATCGCGAGCGGGCGATGGGCGCGCGCGGGGCGCTCGCGCGCGCCGCGGGACGCGCGGCGACGTCGGCGTCGAGGCATTCGGACCGCGCGCGATGGGCGCGCGAACGCGGGGGGGGAGGGACGGACGCGCGCGCGTTGGCGGAGCTCGCGCGATGGGTGCGCGCGCACGGGGCGACGATGGATGGGACGCTGACGACGCACGCGATGTCGGCGCGGTACGGCGCGTGCGGGGTGGCGATGCGGGACGCGGATAGGGTGAGGTGCGTCGCGCGGCGATGGACGTCGCGTCGCGTGGGGGCGGGGGACGGGCGACGGGCGCGGACGGCGAGGCGAGACGCGAGCGCGCGACGCGAGGCGAGACGCGAGCGATTGACGACGACGTTCGATCGCGGCGGCGGGCGTAGGTTATATTTTCGTTGCCGATGCGCTCGCGCGCGGACGGTGGGGCGTTGGCGATGACGACGACGGAGGCGACGCGACGGGACGGGGCGCTCGCGGCGCTCGCGCGGGCGTTGGAGACGAGCGGAGCGCGAGCGCGTTTATCGGGAACGATCGAGAGCGAACACGAGTTTCCCTTAGATAGCACGTCGACGGCCACGCTCGCGGTGGCGCTGATGCAGCAGACGAACGGCGGGGCGAGCGCGCGTTGGCGGGCGTATTGCGACGCGCTGCCCGCCGCGGTGGATTCGTTGATGATGTGGAGCGACGAGGAATTGGAGGTTTTACAAGGGAGCGCGTTGAGGCAGCGCGCGGTGTTTCGAAGAGATTTGTGTAAACGGGAGTACGATGCGCTTTTTCCCGCGCTCGCGCGGGCTGATCCCGAGACGTTCGGTGACGTCGAGGCGTACTCGTTTGATGTTTTTCGTTGGGCGTACGCCACAGTTATGGCGCGCGCGTTCGTTCTACCGGACCTCCAGTGCATGGCGCTTTTGCCCGGTTTAGACATTTACAACTCGGCTCGTGACGCGGAGAAGTGCGTGGTTGAGCGCGACGAAGGCGCGTGTGAGGTTGATGATTCGTCGTCCTTCGACGAGAGCGAGGCGCGGGTCACCCTACGCGTCGGCGTCGGCGGCGTTCAAGCCGGATCGCAGCTGTTTCACGATTATGCCGACCACGCCTCTGGTGGGGCTCTGCTGGAATTTGGGTTCGTGTATCACGGTGAGCGCGAGCGTGGCTCGGGCGTCGACGCGTTGGACGTCTGCTTGAAGCCGGCGCTCGCGCGCCTGGACGCGCGATCGAGAGCGTTCCTCGTCGACGAGGACGTGTTTCACAAATTCAACGTTCGAAAGAGCCTGACGTTCGAAATCTCAAACGTCGGTGGCGTGTACAAGCCGGCGCTTAAAGGCATCGAATGCATCAAGCCAGAGATGTGGCGCGCGGCGCGCGCGCTGGCGCTTCGCCCGGACGAGCCGCTTCCATCTTCGTTGGACGCGCGCCTGGACGACGACGGCGAGCGTCGTGCGAGAGACATCCTCATCCGTGTCCTGCGCGACGAGCGCGAGAGATACAGCGCGACGACGATCGATGAAGACATCGATTTACTCCGTCGAGCGTCCGACGGCGGTCCGTCGCGTCGACGCGAGGCCATGGCGCTCGACGTGCGCCTGGGCGAAAAGCTGCTCCTCGACGACGTCGTCGCGAGCTTACTCGCCCACCCCCCTTCGTAGCGACGCCGCACTCCCCGAGTGATCTCACCGCCGTGTAACACCACACCGAGTTTTCTCGCGTCTCCGCCGGGCGTCGCCCGCGTCCCGCGTCGCGCCGTCGCGCCATCATCGCGCGTCCACGCCCGTCCCCACCCTCGCGCGCGCGCCGTGCCGACGCGCGCGGCGAGTCGCTCGAGCGCGCCGACGTCCGCGTTCGCCATGCCAGGCGCCGTGGCGGACGGCGCGAAGCGCGACGCGATGGACGCCGCGTTCGAGCGACTCGAAGACGATCGCTCGCCGTCGACGACGCCGCGACGGGCGTACCACCTTCGAGCGACGACGACGTCGAGACGATGGTCCGTCGCGACGTCGAGCGCGAGCGCGCGGCGGGGGCGCGCGACAGAGGACGGCGAGGACGACGGATCGAGCGCGGGCGCGGACGCGCGGACGCGGGCGACGGGACGACGCGCGGAGACGACGGCGAGGACGGAGACGCGATCGGGATGGGAGACGCCGGGGAATTTTGCGTTCGCGACGCCGATGCGCGATGACGGAGGGAAGACGGCGTCGCCGAGGACGCCGTCGTTGACGAGGGATTCTCCGTGCGCGGCGCGATTGGACGCCCTGCTCGCGGCGCCGGTGAAACCGAACTTTGGCGTCCAGCGCACGCCGAATGCGACGCCGTTAAAACTGCGTTTCGATGGGTTCGAGGTGGAGAAGCCGAAGAAGCGCCCGCGAGGGAAGGTGAGCGATGTGTTCAGGGCGACGAAGAGCGCGGCGACGCCCGCGAGGTTGACGCGCGCGAAGCGCGGGCGAGTGTAATAATTGAATGGTATCATCATAATTTCCAAATCAAAACGACCACCGAACGTTACCATGCGCGATGGATGGGCTCGCGCGTGTCTGGCGAACCAGAACTTTGCGCGATTTGCAACGAGAAGACAAAACGAAGAGAATACATGGAAAGAGGAAATCGATGCGCCGCGAGACGTTCGCCGTTTATTCCTTACCTCGGACGAGGTGGGGCTCGAGCGCTTCTCGGGCGAATTCCGGAAGCACAAAAGCTGCGGCGTGCACCTGCGCGTTGTAGTAACGCATCGGCTTGAGATCCGAGCCCTCGACCGGGGTGGGGTAACGCTTCGGTTTGGTGAAGTCAACCGTCGAGCCGTCTTCGTCTGGCTTGCAGCAGAGCATGAAGCCGATCTGCCCGCTCGGGTAGGTCGGAATCGACGTGTACCCGTACTGCACCGAACCGTTGACGAAGATCTCCTTGCACATCTTCGCCAAGTCGACGATGAGATCGAGGTGTAACCACGCGCACTCGGCTTGCGAGCACAAGACGCCCCCCGGCTTGAGCACGCGATAAATCTGACGGAAAAACTTCTCTTCGAACAGCACGCTCGCCGGCCCGATCGGGTCGCTCGAGTCGACGATGATCGCGTCGTACGAATCGGCCTCGGCTTTGGTGACGTAATCGATCCCATCGCAAATCATCACCTCGGCGCGCGGGTCCTCGAACCCGCGCGCCATGTATGGGAGATACTTCTTCGCCATCTCCGGCACCATCCCATCAATCTCCGCCATCTCCGCCCGCTCCACGCTCGAATGTCTCGTGACCTCTCGCAGGACGCCACCGTCCCCCCCCCCGACGACGAGCACCCGCTTCGGCGCCGATTTCGTCGAGCACAACGCGAGATGCGTCATCATCTCCTGGTACGAAAACTCATCCCGCTCCGTCGCCTGAATCACCCCATCCAGGACCAACACGTTCCCGTACGCCGCATTTCGAAACACCAGGACGTCTTGAAAATCACTCTTCCCTCGAAACAGCTCCTCGTCCACGCGCAGCGACATCGCTTGTCCCGGCCACATGTCGCTCACCTCACCGAACCATCCACTGGCGAGCGCGCGCATCCCTTTCGCCGCGTCCGAGGGCGCGTGCGCGGCGAACTTATTCATCGTCCCGTCCTCTCTCCGCGTCGTCGTCCGGCGTCGTCTCGCGCGCGCGCGCGCGGCGTCGATCGCGCGGCGGCGGCGGCCGTGGCGCACGGAGACGCGTCGACGAGTCATCACTCGTCGAACAGTCTCTCCAGGATCGATCGTCTCGCGTCTCGAGTCTTGACTCAAGACTCTCGAGTCTCGAAGTCTTGACACGTGCGCGGTGAAAGTCTGTGTGGGTTAAACCCGGACCCTCACCGCCCCCATCGCGCGCAGTCGACGCCACCGACGCGTCGCCGCACGTCGACGCCGCGCGCGACGCGACGTGGACATGCGCGCGCGCGCGACGGTCGGCGCGCCCGCGCGCGCGAGGTCGAACGCGTCGAACGCGTCTCCGCGAGATGGATCCGTCGTCGGACTCATCGGTGGTCTTCGCGTCGTCGCCGCGGCGCTCGCGGCGCACGCGCGGGACGGCGCGCGAACGAACGCGACGCACGTCGCGGAAGATCCGACGTACGTCGTGTTCCTCGCGGCGTCGGTGGTGGCGTTCGGGACGGTGGCGAGCGGGGAGGCGATGAGTTTGCGGCGGCGGCGCGCGCGGGCGCGAAAGGCGGTGAAGGAGTGCGCGACGATGTTGGATCTGCGTAAGGCGGGCGATGGGACGGGTGCGGGTAAGGGTAAAATGCGGGACGGTGGGAAGGTTGGGGCGGAGTTTTGGAACGATTTGGGATTCCTCCTGCGCGCGGCGTTTCCGTCGGCGACGTCTCGCGGCGGGCAGCTCTTGGGGGCGCAGTTCACCTTGCTCGTCATGCGCACGCTGTTGACGGTGCGAGCGAACAAGGTGAATACGTTTTATCTCACCAAGGCGATCTCGAGCGCGAGTTGGAAGTTTTGGGTGCGGTGGTTTTTCAACTTTTGCGGGTGGATGGCGAGCGGCGTCGTGGTGAACAGCGGTTTGAGGTACACCGAGAGTCTGATCACGATCGAGCTCCGCGCGGCGCTGACGAAGAAGGCGCACAAGATGTACATGGAGAATAACAACTTTTATAAGACGGCGGTGCTGCGACACGGGGGATTAGATAACGTCGATCAACGCATCGTGGCGGATATCGACGCATTCGCCAAGGAGGCGGCGTTCCTGTACGGGCACTCGTTCAAGCCAATCTTAGAGTTCACGCTGAGCCTGACCGAGGCGGCGAAGGAGCTCGGCTACTCGCGCCCGCTCGCGCTTTTCGCATCGCAAATCATCATCACGAGCGTTTTGCGGTCCATCTCGCCCAGGCTCGGGCCGATGGTCGCTCGCGAAGCCGCGCTGGAGGGTGGATTCCGACATACGCACGCGCGCCTCATCGCGCACGCCGAGGAAATCGCTCTCTTGGATGGCGGTAAGCGTGAGGTGGATATCTTAGATGAAGGTTTAGATAACCTCGTAGTGACGCAGCGCTGGCACGCGTTGCAGCGCATTCGTAAGAGCGTCGCCGATAACATCTCAAAGTTCCAAGGCTTGCTCGTGGGTAGCATATTCGTGCACGTCCCCTTCATGATGAAGGATGCCGTATCCGAGGGTGAACGCATCTCCACCTTTCGCGCCACCGAAGAACTCATGCTCCGATGCGGTGGTGCGTTCACCGAGGTGCTGCTTCTCGGGAAGAACCTCGACGAGCTCGCCGGGTACACGCACCGGCTCTCGCAGCTCTTCAAGACGTTGGATCGATCGAATAAGGAGGCACTCGAGGAGCGCGCCGCGAAGTCTGCGACGGTCGCCGCGCCGGAACACGCCGCGCCCATCGTGTTCGATGCGGTCACCGTGGGCGCGCCCGAACCCGATGGCTCGCACCGCGTGCTCGTGAAGGACTTGACGCTCGCTCTCAAGCCTGGTGAGCACTTGCTCATCACGGGACCGAACGGTTGCGGAAAGACTTCGCTACTTCGTGTCCTCGCCGGCTTGTGGGCGCCCATCGCCGGTACGATCTCTCGACCGTCCGGCGTTTCGTCCATCATGTGGTTGCCCCAGCGTCCGTACTTGTTACAGGGATCGCTTCGAGATCAAGTCGTTTACCCGCGAGACGCTCGATCGGAGAAAATCGACGACGCGCGCGTCAAGGAGTGCCTCATGATGGCTGGTCTCGGCAAATTCGTCAACGGCTCGATGAACGTCGGTCTGAACACGCGACACTTGGAGTGGAACGACGTCTTGTCTGGGGGCGAGCGTCAACGCATCGGTTTTGCGCGGTTATATTACCACGCCCCGAAGTTCGCAATCTTAGACGAGGCGACGAGCGCCATCAATCCGGACGAGGAGTCCGCACTTTATGAACGCCTCATCGCGACGGAAACCACGGTGGTGAGCATCGCGCACAGACTAGAGCTCAGAAAATTCCACAAGAACGAACTCAAGATAGCCGGCGACGGCTTGGGCGCGTTCAAGATTGTCAAACTCTGAGGTAGGCCATGTTAGTTAAACTTTGTCATTTCATGTCGCATCCTATGTTGTTACACGCGATGGAACGGGTTCTCTGCGCGTCGCTCACTGCATCGTTAGATAGGCGAGGAATAGCGCGGGCGTTCCGAAGAGAGCGAGCATCGCGACAACAGCCTGCGTGTTCAACTCTCGAACCTCCTCTTCATCGATATCGCCGGCAAACTTTTCGTTCGCCATCTTGATCAAGTACTCATCGTACGCGTCCAGCTTCGCCGCGTCCATGTAATCGAACAGATCCGCTTTCATCTTCTTCGAAGCCGTCGTCATCCCCCACAACATGCGATCCGCCTGCTTGGAAACGGTTCCGTACTGGTTCCCGATGCAACGACGATACTGCTTCATCGCCTCATCTCGTCGCTGGACGTTATCCAGGCACAGGGCGTAGTTAAATATCATCTTCCCGCCGAGCTCCGTCTTGGGAGGCATGCGCTCGAGAGCCCAAGGCTCGAGTATCTCGAGCGCGTCGAGCATGTATCCTTGCCTGATCGCCTCTTCGGCTTGCGTGAGCGCCGCCTGCGCCGCCTCCATCTCCGCGGGCCGCATGTTCATGCCTTGATCCTCTCTATATTTCGCCAATTTCTTCGCCACGCGCGCTCGCCGCCGTTGAATCGCCTCCTCGTCCTCGAGCTCCTCCCTCTTAATCGTTCGTCCGCCGCCGTACGTCTTGGAAATATCCGGCGGTCGCTCGAACACCCCCCACGTCGACACTTTCGGCTTATACACCGATCCCTCCACCTCGAACCCAACCGCGCGCTCGTCCTCGTCGAACGGATCGTACGTCCCATCCTTGGTGAGGATGGACACCGAGACCTCTCGCTTTTTCGCCTCGTCCGGTTTCCCCGCCCGCGCCGTCGCGTCCGGCGTCACCACCGAACGACCCGCGCTTCCCTCGTCCGTCACCGTCCCCCCCGCCGCATCACTCCCCACCCCCCC